ATAAGAGCTTTAATTAACTATTTAATTAAATATAAAAAAAATAATAATAAAATTTTTTAAGTATGGGTCCTAGGGAAGCGGGTTTACTACTTAAAGCATGTTTTATTTAATAAATTAAAGTTTTATAAAAATAATTACTTATTTAATATTATATTTATAAAGGGTGCCCTGCCTTAATCTAATAAATTAGCGCCGGGGGCTATTATATATAATACCAAACTTAATAATATACTTATTTTTAAGCTAATTTTAATAATCCAGGCGTTTAAAATATTAATTACTAGCTAAATTTAAATTATATCCCTAACTTCGCGGCACTAACTAACTTTAGTATTATATAATAATATTAAACTAAAGTTACTTACCTTATTAATACTAAAATACCAGGTTAACTTTATCCTAGCACTAATATAGCGCTTACATGCTAGAAATATAAGAATTTTATTAAAATAACTAATTAATAGCAAGGGTAATAGCACTAGCATGCCAAGCCTAACCTTATTAAATTATTATAATAACCTTAATCCAGCAACGCCACCTTAATTTTTAATAAGAAATATTAATACCATAATAACACCGGCTTATATACCATTATTAATAAATCTTATTAATTAATTTTAAATATAAATTATATTATTTTTATTAATAACCTAAGCCCCACCTGCTCCACGCCCTTAAAAGCTTTAAAATAACCTTAATTTACTAAAATTAACGCTAAATAATATTTAAAATATATATAAATAAATTTTTAAAGCAAACCATTTTAAACCACATGTATTTAATATAAATACTAATATAGTATTAAATACACTAATTAATTAAGATTTAAAAATATTAAACTATAAAATACCAGGCTAATTTCCTAACTAACCAAAGGTTTTAATAATAAAGACCACCTTATATAAAATAAATATAAATACTAATATTTCTAATATAATAGTTATTTTATTAATTAAATACCCTAAACCCTGTATTAACTATGGCCTATTAACTAAAGTAACTAAGCGTGTTAATACTAGAGTTATTAAAATACTTAATAAAATAGTTTAGTATTTACTTACTAGAAGGTTTTAAATATTAGCTAAAGCTAAATTATATATTAATAATATTAAAGTGCTAAGATTTTATAAAAAAGCGTGGTAATTTAAGTTTTTTAACTAATAAAAAAAAGCTATATTAATTTATATTAGCATGGTAGTTACTATAAACACATAAAAGCTTGTTAAATAACTAAAAAGGGCTAAGATTATTTTTAGTAAGTAGGTATTTATACTTAAAAGTAATAAAAATAGCTTTATTTTATTATTTAAGGCTTGGATTATCGCGTGTGGTAACCATTAAGTTATTAAATTAAATTATAATAAAAGCTTTTATTTAGTTATAGCTAATATAATAATTAAATATATATTAATAGCTATAGCTATCCAAAGGCTTAGCTAGTGCTAATTTAATATTATTAATACCTACCTTAATATAAAAATAGCTAATTAAAAGGTTTATATATAATAGCCACGCGGCCACGGGATTAGTAATAACCTTATATATAAGGTATAAAAAGCCTTATTTAGCCTTTATAATTTTATATATTTATAAAACCAGGAATTTAACTAATTATTACACGCCAAGGGCTTTAAGCTGCTTACTAAAAAATTTTATATATATATTTAAAAGTTACCCTACGCGCTAATTATTACTTATATAAATAATAATATTATTACTAGTAAAATAAAGGCTAATATAAATACTATTATTAGCCTTTTATAAAAAATTTATAAACTTAAAGTTAGTAATAAGCTAATTAAATTTCTTAAATTAATAATATTCCATAACTATAAAAACAGGATAATCTATTTTTTTTAAGCTATATATATAAAATAAATAGCTTAATATTTTAGCCTTACTAAGGCTAGGCCGGTAAAAACACTAATAATAAAAAGGTATATTAAAACTATATAAAAAGTTAACTAATTAAATATTATAAATCCTAATATACCTTTAGTTTTTAACGCCTTTAGTACTTATGCCTTTACCTAATTAATTAAATTTTTTAGCTAGCTTAAAAAGACCCGTGTTAACCTTGCATACCTAGTTTAATTTTTATAATATTAATAAAAATCTTTAATTATTAATAACATGGCAGCTACTAAGCACGTGATTTACTATATTATAGTTAACTAAAGTAATTTAGTACTTACTAAAACCTATATAAAAAAAATAATTATTTATTCCAACGTGTTTTATTAAAATTATTTTAATAAAAAGTTAATTAAGGGCTTTATTATATACCTTTATAAGTTTTTTATTATATAAAATTTAAAAAAATAAGTAGTTATAGCGCCTTTATTTACTATAATAAAATTTTTAGTATTTAATAAGGCTATTAAAATAGCCTTATTTATAAAAAAGCTTATTAAAACGCTTAAGGTATAAAATAGCAAGCTAATTATAATATATTTTAATAATACTAGCGCTATTACTAATACTATTAGTTAAAAAATTTTAGTTATTACACGCTAGTTAGCTAATAAATACTTTTTTATATAAAATATTTATAAATAATACCTTGTGGAGTTCCACCACGTGCCTAAAAAAAAACCCTATAAATAAAATAACTAAACTATTAAAAGTAACTAAGTTTACTACCTTTTAAAATATAATAAGCCTTAAAAAAGCCCTTTAATTAATAAATTAAAAATATAAAAGTTTTATTATTTTTATTTTTAGTAATATTTCCTATTTAAAACATATATATAGCTTTATAATATAACCATGTATTACTTAGTTAAAAAGTATATTAAATATTTAAAGGGCCGGCGCCTAAAACATGCCTATTTTAATTAAAACTAGCGCAGCATGTGATAATTAAGGTTTTCTTATAACTTACCACTTGCTATATATAAACAATCCAGAGGTTTACTATAAGCAATGCTATTGGCTAGTCATTATTTATTTTATTATTATTATATACTAGGATAATACTAGGCACTTTTTATATTATATAATTATATTATTTTTAAAAAATATATATATTAATAATGCCTAAGGTATTATAAATTATGTTAACTACTTTATTAATTACTAGGAAATTTTTAATAAAAAATTATTAAAAATAATAGCTTAGCCCATGCAGGTAATATTAATTTTAAAAATAGTTATAATTATAATTAAGCCTAGTATATATTTAATAAAGGCTTATTAAATAATATATACTTTAGGGCATGTTATTAACTTATTATTAAAAAGGGTAATTAACACCTTATAATTATTTTATATTATTAAGGCTATAGTAAAGCTATTACGCGCTAATTAAGTTATTAAGGTATTTAATAGGGCCCCCTTACCTAAAATAATGTTAGTTAAAGTAAAAAAACTTACTTTAAAAGGGGTAGGTTAAGCGCTTAAATTTTTAAGGGTTAAACTTATTTTTTTTAAGTAATAATTTTACTAAAGGTTATTATAATAATAAGTTAATTATATATATATATATAAATATAATTAATATTATTAATATTAGCATAACCCTTTAAAAAAATAAAGTATATAAACTTATTATAAATATTATAAGTAAGGGCTTTTTAATTTTAAATTTTTTACTTAATTATAAAGCTATTAATAATAATTATAAAGCTTATAAAAACTTTATACTTAATATATACTTAATATTTTTATTTATTAAATTAATTATAAAGGGTTTTTATAGCTAGGCCAGGCTAAAAAGTTAATATATTATTATTTTTAATAATAATAATAAAAAAAATAGGCTTGCTAGGGCCCTTTTTTTTATTTTTTTATAATATAAAAATTAAAGAAAAATAGGGAATTTTATAATTAAATAAAATTAGCTAAATTAAAGCTTATAAACTAATTAAAAATACATGCCTTTATTTTAATTATTACGCCATGGGGAGTAATAAAAAGGGGAAAAAAAAGTTAAAAATAAAATTCAAATAGTAAAAATATATATTTATAAGACTTTTAAAGTATTTAGAGCCCTTATTTAAAGGTACCCCTAGATTACTAAGAGTTGTAAAGGTGCGTCCGTTATCTAGCAACCTTGGAACTGTGTTCCAGCACCTACCAGGACTTGCTCAAAACAACCTTAGATACGCTTTCAGGTCACTTGTTCCTCCCGGTTCTCATTCTGGTATGGGAATCCATCGCATCCTTTCACGCAAGCTACGTCACGGTGGGAGTTAATGGACCTCCGTGGCCTCAGCAACAAACGCACCAGTAGTCTAACGCTAGGTCCCAGCCGTAACGCAGTTCGTACAATTGGGTAGATAGGGCTCTGGATGATTGGTGTACGCTACTGTCCCCTGACTGTTGTACAGTTCAACTTCAGAAAGTCTCGCCTTCGCCGTCGCGACTTCTACGTTCATCTAGGAAAGCTCTTCTTATGATTCCTGTGCGGAGAGTAATCATTCTGCTTACAGGAGAAGTACTCAACATGGGGGAGGAATAGTAGCCAAGCTACCTCACATATTCATCCACTGAGTACCTACCAGGGGCGACATTCAGTATGGGATGTGGTCCGTCGACGCCTATCAAAGCACAAACCCTAGACCTACCTTCGGCGTCGGTGAATGGATGGGCATACTCATTTGGCTTAGTCTACGAGCGGGTGTTCTCCGGCCATTGTCCTCATGCCGGGCATATCTTGGATCCTCCATCCCAGGGACGTCTCGATGACTCTTGGCTTTCTTCCGGTGAATGAAGCAAGTCTCGCAGTGGGTACCATGGAGCCAACTTCACTGCACCCCGGATTTTAGTCCGGGGTAATCGGGAGCAATTGGGGCCTTCACTAGTGATGATATTTGTCACCTTCCTGTGAATAGGGTAGAAGAGTGAATATTCAGCAGCTTAGTGCCAACTCCAGATGTTCACGATCCAGGCTTGTATCCCAGACCAGCGCTGGGAGTTTCTCTGCACCACCATCTTCGCTTCTTCAGATCTTTAATGTTTCGAGATCCATCGTATCTTCCAACTGCCACTATCACACCATGTTGAGCACAAGGGTCTGCACGGAGGTGCTAATGCGCCGGCACAGAAGGCCAAACGAGCCTTTATCCTGGCCGTTTGAGTCCCTCGACAGCTCGAAACGCGATGGCTGCAACTGCTGTTTGACCCAAACCTGCGTGAATGCCGTCAGAGCCAAGAATGGCATCGTACCAGCGAAAACGAAGTCAAAAGCGAAACCAGTCTCGTTCATTGAACCCTCGGCCATTGTGACCATAATAGCACAAACGACAATTTCGATTACAGAGGCAGTGTATCAACAATGTGAGAAAGACAAAGAGGACGAGACTGCGCTCAAAACGAAGAATGGTGCTGAGACTGGTGCGGTTTGCGCGGGCTTTGTTGGATGTCTGGGTCTACAAAGAGCAGGTATGGCATGCCATTTATTCCCCAACAGATACTCGATGTACTAATGAGACACGGCAAGCCATACAAAGGCCAGTATCGTTCGAGAATTTGGTTCACAATCCTCGAGGGATCCGGAATGCACTACTTAAACCCTCGAAGCCATGCCCGATTTTCGACGCAATCAACTACATCGCATTGCCAGAGTTCAAGCTCCAGCACATACACTCACCTGAATACCTTACCACAGATTCAACCGTTCTCCGTACGGCATATCCATCACAGCCGAAGAGCATACTACGAACTGCTTCAACTGCAACCATAACAGCAACCACACCCATACCCATTCCAAGAAGCACAAGCACAACCACACTCACCATGGCCGGACCCTCCCGCAAGCGCTCCGCCGAGCACCTCGACGACGGCCACACCAGCGACGGCAGCAACAAAGCCCCCCGCTCCGACTCCCTGCGGTCCTGGCCCAACACCTCCACCCCACCGCGCTCGCCCCGCATGTACGCCCCCAAGCAAGACGGGGAGTACGACGAAGCGCACAAGATCGCCGACGGCGCCGACGAAGAAGCCCTCGACGAAGCCCTCCGCGCCAACGGCGTCATCGTCAACGGCGACGGCTCCGAATCCGCCATGCCCCCGGGCTGGCGGAGAGGAGAGGGCAAGCAGCGCGCTGGCGCACGCGCCCCCGCACCCCCCACCAACGCAGGGAGCTGGGAAACCACAAGCTCCGCCATCACCGAGAGCACCGCCGGCAGCCACAGCCATGGCCAGACACCCTACACACGCGCCGGGTATGCAGGCCAGGCGGGCCCGTCAGGCATCCGCCCGCGAAACGCGCCGCGGCGCACCGGCGCGGCCGCAACACGCCCCAGCACCGCCGGCCACCCCACAAACTACCAGATCTGGGTTGGGATCGCGAACGAGTCGAAGGAGACGAACCGGCACTTCACGGTAGTTCTGCGGGCGCCGCCGCACCTCGCGGACCCGCGCGGCGACTGCACGTGGTACCACGTGCTGGGGGCTGGGTTCGAGGAGACAAACTACTACCGGCGGGTTGTGCACGCGCCGCGGATGCACGACGAGCCGTTCTTCCACCGCAAGCTGCCTGTGGGGATGATGCCCGAGCACAAGATGCGGCTGTTCCAGCATGCGTTCCGGAGCACGCCGGCGCAGCCGCCGGAGTTCTTCCTCATTCATTTCTTGCGGAAGTTGGTGGCGGCGCAGATCATTGATCCGTGGCAGATTTTGGACTTTGAGAGGATGATTGGGGAGCCCCCGGCCGAGTTGGCGCATGATCCGGATTTCAAGCCCAGTCCGGAGTTTGGGCCGACGTGGACGAGGAATTTGGATGTTGAGGGGAATGTGCCCATTTTTGAGATGGAGGGGATGGATGTTGAGGAGGGGGAGAAGTAAATGATCTCTTTTGTTTGTGTCTCGTTTGGTTTGGGGTGTTTTGTTTGTCGTTTGTCGTTTGTGCATGGAGTTAGGGCTTTGGGACTTCTGCTGCACAGGGTCGTCCACTGTTCTGCCTAGAAAATAAAAGGATTAGCATCCAATATACTATTTTCTCAGGAAACGTAATATTTAGATTATTAAAATTGTTATTCACAGCCAATTCAGGTAAATAACTCGCAAAGGTCCGGGCGTTGGCATGTTCTGTTTACAAGTTCCAGCTCTGGTCGGCATAAATGGGAGAACAAATGCTAGGAGACTTTCCTCTGGCATTCCAAACTCACTTGGGATAAAGTCCAACGAGGAACAGCCGTACTGTAGCATATACCTTCTCTGCCCGTCGAGAATAAACTACACGCGGACGGAACGCGCTGGCCGAGATGGATGGTGGTGAGTCATTATCTTGCTCCGTAGATTTACATTTCCAACAGGGTCAGTGTAAAGGTCGTGGAACCTGGGAATAGGAACGGGAAGGCTTGTTCGACCTCCCGATGTGATCATCGCTAAGATCCAGAGTACACCGAGGACTATAGCACCTGAGGCTGGGGCACTTTCCTGAAGTGCCAACGCAAACATAGCATGGTCTGCCGTTGCTGTTCCGATCGCGACGTTCTTCGGTTCTTTGCCCTCTAGAACCCTAGACGCTGGTTTATTCTGCAGAGATCGTACAAGCGGTGTAATTTTATGGCAGGTAATAACAGGAGGGAGCGTCCAGGTCCGCGATATCACGGTGTCGGCCAAAGGAAGGAGACGCGGCCACGGAAGCCATTGGGATTGATGAATGAGCAACCCAAGCAGACGTGGACACTCACCTGCATTGTGGAATGTGTCGAGAATGGTCCAAGCAAGGTTTCTTTTCTTTTCTTTTCTTTTCTTTTCTTTTTTTTCATTTCGTCGAACTTTCATTCCTGGCTTCGTCCCTTCGATAACGTCTCGAAGAGTGTCACTAACCAAACGCGATCTTCGCGGCGAAGAGATCAAATACCGTAAAGCGTCTCAGTTCCTCTTTTCTTCACGTGGCCCTTCTCTTTTCGAACAAGATGGCCTACCTCTTGCTCCCTCTCCTCGCCGTGTCCAAACCGGAAACAACCTAAAGATCTCTCGCGAGCGGTGTCTTCCCACTTCCACTCAGCCTTTCGACAGCAAAACCCGATTGTCCCTCACAACCTCCAATGCAGGAAAATGAATCGGTGGCTTTTGCCTCTCGCCCCCTGATCTTTTCCTTAGTCAACAAGGAGAGGGATGTAGCCCGGTTCGTGGTTGGTGGTGCCGTCAGAAAGGGCTACTCGTGCCCGAGTGACGCAGAACTTGCCATTAACAAAATAACAGTTTCCATAGACTGAGTCGCCGGAATATAGACACCTGTTAGGATGAGCATGCATCGTTCTCACTCCTGACTTGTCGTACAATTATCGCCATTTCAGCCAGCAATGGTGTCATGTGATCACGCCTTTCTCCCAATGTTTTTCTCCAACTTTTGCTTCTGTTCCCCACCACAACTCTACAACTGCACCAACGCCCTAACCAGCTCTTTTCCCAAGCCTACCATACCGAAGTTCCTGAAAGCCCCTCACCTCCTGTCTCCTGCCATAATTCCCGAACAAAAGCAAAAGCCAATACAACATGCCAGTCCTAAGCGCCTACACCCTCCCCGCAACGACGGACGGCCTGCAGGTGCACCTCTCCCCAAACGGAGTTCGCTTCTTCCTCTCCTTCCACGCGTCCGTGGACCCAGCGACACAAAAGCCCTGGTGTCCCGACGTCGTCGCCGCAATCCCCCATCTGCTTGAAGTGTTCGTTCCGTCTAGCGCCCCGACCGTGGGGTTTGTGCACGTCGGGCAGAAGCCTGAGTATGTACCTACTCTCCTAACTCTTTATCCCAGGAAGGAAAGTGCACTGATCGTAGATGCAGATGGAAAGAACCGACCAACGTCTTCCGGACGAAGTGGAATGTCAACAATATTCCGACTCTGGTTCGCTTTGAGAGGGTTGATGGGTGCGTCAAGGAGACGGGGCGTCTTGTTGAGGCGGAGATTCTTGATCGGGAGAAGTTGAGGGAGTTTGTTTTTGGGAAGGAGGCAGCCGAAAGGACCTAGGCAAGTCGATATTGAGCTCCTGTTGCTGAGGGACCGGGGGTTGAGTTGTGCGCGAACCTCGAAGGAAGAGCGCATTTACTGCGCACTAACTGCTTCTTTCTTGTTATAAGTCCCCAGAATTGTAAACCTGGCCTTGAGGGAAAGTTTTGTTGTGACGTTCTGGCCCAAAGATGATTATTAGATGCCATTGACATTGAGCGGCATGCGTTATGTCAGATCTCAGTTCACATCAATGCCTAGGTCCACGGTGTGGACGAATGCTATCTCCAAATACCTGCAATTCCGCATCGTCAATCGTAATTCTCGTTCCGCAACAGCATTTACGCTCCCCACTTTGATTGTGCTGATATTTTGGAGAGACTTCAACACGCTGGCCGCCTTGGGTCTGTTTTTTCCGTCTATACCAATAAACTGGCAAGCAAACCGTACTCCGACCTTCATGAAGCTGTGGACGCCTGTTAACGGACCTTTCCTCTGGGCGTGCTGCTTTTCGACAGGAACCTCCAACCCAAACAGTGCTCAGCATTGATTCATGATTTCTGCCCTGCTATCACACCATATCCGCCAGGCAACCCTGACTGGCGTACTCCAACATAAGGTTGAGCCGAAAGCCTCCGGTATTGCGACTGCTGGCCAATTGAGTAGCAGCGTGCCTGACTCCGGCGTCATTCCAGCTATAAAGGCAACATTCCTGCATTAACATGTTGGTCGATGGTGTGGGCATATCAACGACGACGGCCAATCGATTGCGTTTCCCAAAACGATCAATTTGAAACAGGGCGATGTATGAACATTGATGACTTCCTGTAAGCAACCACCTGCATAAAAAACTTCTTCACCGCTTGAAGAACAAGATCACTGCGCCACAAATACTCCGCATGGCCCTAGAGAATCTTCGACTCTGCCACCCCACCAAAGTGACAGACGAGCACAGCGTAGCCGCGCTGAAGCTGGACGGTCGTGTTTGAACCCCTACCCCGATTGCAGATAGGAGGCCTTGCGACGCCGGGGCTCACTGAGAGGGCGGCCAAATCTGCGAAGAGAGTATATCAACCCTTTGCACTTCCCTCCGCAACAATCACCAGCCCATTCCACCTCAGTTTCAAACAGGTACGTCTGGAGTGGGAGACTCCCATATGACCCATCATCAGCCCAGAAGCCCCCCAGGACCTCGACCTCAATGCGTTGCTTACCCTTTGGACACCACTGGATATGTCGAACACGCAGAGAAGATCTCCCGGCTTGTCGCTTGTTCCCTTGAAGCCGTGGGGCTCAAAGTGACGATCGAATTCGAGACAACCGGGCTGAATTCGCGGCGATTGGAGTCCGTAAGGGAATCGGTGACCTTGCGCTATTGGACTCGACGCCCAACCGTACGTTCAGGGTCCTCGATGGTAAGATATTGAGTGAGGCATGGTGGCTTGGGTATGATGGGGAGGAGGTGCAACGGTTGTCCAAGGAGGCAAGAGAAAAGGTTGGCAGTAAAGAGAGCCGCGGGTATGGACGGTCCTTGAAGAGGCTACAGGAAAGCCTGCTGTAGTGGTATACTGCCCATTCAGATGTTGTTTGGGTGTCGCGGTTGGATGTTAAAGTCAAGGTCGGGTCGTCGGGGATATTGGCGCTCGGATAGAACAGACTCATTGATTCAAGATATCACTCAAAGAAAGACAGTAAACGTTATCTTCATAAAACATACATTCCACCTATTCATAATATGCCGTGACTGAGCCGGTCCTTCCACTCCTTCCGCCATCCACTCCCTGCTCTCATCTACCGAGACGGGTTTTTGATGCCTAGGTCGTCTCATACACATTTGGAATATCTCCCAACTTTATCTTCCATTGGCCACGTCAACCATTCCTTCACCAATATGGGACACTCATTTGCTTCCATCACTCGAAGGTTCGCCGGCAGGACCTACCGAGCCCGTGGTCATGTTTGCTGATAAATCGCGGAGATACGTACCGGGCCGTTTGTCATGCTCGTTTTTGGACTGAGCGTGCTTCAGAAGTTTCTCGAACAAGGAGTACACTGAAGGATATTTTGACATCCCAGCCGACCGGTGCTGGCTCCGTGTGCACCTGCCCTGGCACCGCATCGCTCCTTCCATCATTGAAGACCTCCCCAGGCCCGAGAGAAAAATGTAGCCCTTGACTTGATTCTTCTCACCCACTTCCATAACTTTACGCTTGCTTCCATAACTTTACGCTCGCTTCCATCACTTTACGCTCGCTTCCATCACTTTACGATATAGAACTAAAATGCCTATTATTTCACCCATCAAGACCATCGTTCAGGGTGCAGCCACTGGGGAGATCCTCAGCTCCACAGAACCCCTCAGCTTCTGGGGCGGCGTGTGTCAGAAAACAGGCGAGGTGACCGATACCCAGCACCCGCTGCATGGCGAGAACATCAAGGATCGCATTCTGGTGTTGCCGTCGACCTCTGGCTCACCTAACGGAAGCTTGGTAATCCTCGAATTACTCATCAACAGCGCCGCACCCGCCGGCTTGGTCTTCTTGAACGAGGAGGAGATCGTTACGACAGGCGTGATCATAGCCCAGACGCTCCTCGGCCGGTCGATCCCCGTTTTTCGAGTCAACGAGTCGCAATTCAATAACATAACCCACCACACACATCTTGCTACGGCTGCGAGGGGTTTGGTCGCTGATGTCGCCCCATTCCCGCCGTCGGACGCGGTGCCCCCGAACAGATCCGACCCTGACACACAAACTCAGAACGGAAACAACGTCCGGCTTTCCTACCGGGACAGAGGCATCCTCAATGGAGACTATAGCATTGCCGCGGCCCATGCAATGAACATCCTCATCCAGTATGCGCGTCTCCGGGGCATGCGCGAGCTTGTTTCGACTTACCGCACACATATCGACTCATGCATCTATACCGGTCCGGCAAGCCTGCTGCTCGCAAGAACGCTTCTTGATCAGGGCGCAGATTTTGCCGTCTCCACCACGCTGTCATCGACCTTTGATGAGCAGCGCTGCTTGCGCGAGCTGGGAGTTGACACAAATGTGGCGCTAGAGGCGGATGGCCTCGTGGACGTGTACGTTGCCATGGGTGGCAGGGCATCGAAGGACTTCCGCGGCACCTCCCAGTTCGGAGGGCCCGGTGGAGTTGTGTACAGAAACAGTTTTGATCGAGGTCGGACACAAAGGTATCCGGCTCTGATTGACATCTGCATTGCCCTCACCGGAAGAAGGCCGGTGGCTGAAGTGGTCGAGACGGCAGGGCCCAATCCTTCCCTGTGCATTGACGTTAGGATCGAATCGGTGATCGAGCTTACAAATGCACTGTACCCATTGCTCGGGTATGCAATCGGTAAGGTCGCTGCAGACCAAATCCCTCTGATAACTGGGTTGGAGACAACCACGCCGACAACCACCGATCTGCAAGCGTTCAGCGCAGCTTTTGCAACAACATCATCCGCACCGCAGTTCTACCTTGCCGGCCATTCGGATAATGCAGCGCAGTCCTCTCCGGCAGACCTCAGGCGAGTTCGACTCGGCGCAGACAAGCTGGTTTCTGCCCTTGACGAATTCACGACCGCAACAGACGCCACCGTCGGGCTCGTCTCGCTTGGGAACCCCAATTTTACGGCCAAAGAGTTTCGTCGGTTTTCGCAAATCTGTGCCGGTCGCCATAAAGCGGACTCGGTTGAGATGATCATCACCACTAGCCCGCGGGCGTACGCTGAGGCCAGCGCATCGAGGACTCTCCAGGCGGTTGAGGCTTTCGGAGCCAAGGTCTACACTGATCCTTGCTGGAGCATGAGGGCGGAATCCGCAATCGACCCTGCTGCCGGCAACATCATGACCAACTGCGCCAAGTACGCGCTCTGTGCGCCGGGGATGGCGCGTCGCGGGGTGCACTATGGCTCGTTGAGACACTGTATTAACGCGGCGGAGACGGGGAGGGTGGCCAGTGGCTTGCGTGAGAGACTATTGGGCTTGCAATGCGAGCAGTAGGGATTTATTGATTATTGGCTGTTTATGAGCTTTGATGCGGTCATCGGCCTCAAGGTCCTTGTTCTGCTGTGTATATAGAGCGGCACCACCAACGTGGGCTACTTGATCTGACATTGTTCGTTCAGTCTTTCCACCAGGAACGAAATCCATTCTCTTTTTTCCCCTTCTTTCATCGGGTACTAGAACTTATAGTCATCATTCAACCCCTATACGGCGAAAAGACACCAAATGGACGAGGCTACGAACCGACGATGAAACTCAGCCTCGATCTCAAACCACCCTCAGATTCGGTATCCACCGCGATGAAACAGCCATGACGCGGCAGCACTCGAACTGTCAAGCCTCACGATGCTTCAGCGATCGGACTAGTCCGGTCTAGATTCTGGGCCTGGCCGTGTCAAGAAAGCGAGTAATGCCTGACCGACAAGGCAGCAACCCGACCGAGCCCTGGGGTCGGCGACCGACACCCTGGCCCTTGATCTGCACCCACATTGATGGGCCGAGTCGCCGCTCAGGGATGCAAGAAGCTTATGGGTGGATGCAGGGTGCATATCTTGGAAATGCCGCCTCTATCCCGACGTCATGGTGCCTGTCCTGGTGGCGGAGTGGATGCGAAAGGGCCTGCTTGCGACCGTGGATTGTGACCTCACGCCTCTGCGATTGCGACCATCACTCGACCGTTGAGTCCCATAACCTTTTTTGCGGGCTCAGCTAAGCAGACCGGAAGCGCCGGAAGCAACGTGCTGAGTTTGAGCTTCTGAGTCGGCCCAGGTCCAGGTCCACTGGGTGAGGTCATGATGAACTCTGCGTAGTGTTGGACCGTGACATCACGAGAGCGCACCGATAAATAGGTAGAGAAACCCTCGCAGCAAACCTTAGGGCAAGAAGATACTCAGACACAATCAACACACAGCCACAAACATGTCATTCAAAGTCTTCAAGGGCTCGCAGAAGGGCGTCGTGCAGTCCAGCACCCCCAAGCCCGCGCTGACCGGCGACAAGGTCCTGGTCAAGGTCTCGCACTCGGGCGTCTGCGGCACAGACCTGCACTACAAGTCCGCCGACATGGTCCTCGGCCACGAGGGCGTCGGATCCGTCGAGGAAGTCGGGCCCGAAGTGCGCGAGCTGAAGAAAGGCGACCGCGTCGGATGGGGGTACGAGCACGACTCCTGCGGGCGCTGCAGACACTGTCTCTCCGGCTTCGAGACGTTCTGCCCGCAGCGCGCGATGTACGGGATGGCAGATACGGACCAGGGCTCGTTTGCGAGCCACGCCGTCTGGCGCGAGGCGTTTCTGTTTAAACTCCCTGATGGCCTGGACAGTGAGGCCGCGGCGCCGCTGATGTGCGGTGGGGCGACGGTGTTCAATGCGCTTGTTGGCGCGGAGGTGAAGGCTACCGATGTCGTTGGGATCGTTGGGATCGGCGGGCTAGGACACCTGGCGATCCAGTTTGCCGCGAAGATGGGCTGCTATGTTATTGTGTTCAGCGGGACGGAGAGCAAGAAGGAGGAGGCGATGAAGCTGGGCGCGAGGGAGTTTGTTGCGACAAAGGACGTCAAAGAACTGCAGACGAGCCGCAAACTGAATAACCTGATCGTCACCACGTCGTTCCTCCCCGATTGGAGCCAGTTCCTGGGCGTCCTTGATAACCGCGCGACGATTTCCCCGCTGACGGTCTCGGGCGATGACTTTGTGATTCCCAACCAGGAGATGCTGGTGCGTGGGTTGCGGGTGCAGGGGGGCATTGTGGCGGCGAGGCAGGTGCACCGTGAGATGCTGCAGTTTGCGGCGTTCCATGGGGTCAAGCCGATTGTTATGCGGTTTCCCATGAACGAGAAGGGCATCGGCGAGTGTATGAAGACGCTGGAGGATGGGAAGATGCGGTATCGCGGGGTTTTGGTGGCGGAGTAATGCGACTGCTTTCTGAGTTTCTCAAGGTTCCGAGTGATGAGTGATGATTTGAGGATCGATACATGGTCGTGATTGTCAGGAGTCAGAATCAAAGTGTATTTTAGCCTCCAGTGTGTGTTAGAAACCGTGGACGAGCGGGCGGACCCTCAGTGGGATGACGCGAATGATGACGACGCCGGCGATCCTGATACTTTGGCGCCTAGGTATAATAATATTTCATTCCCCTGTCCATCTTTTGTCTCTATTGTCCATTTGATATCCTGCCTTGCTGTCAGTAAATCAATGTAATGTCCCCCCTCTCCAAAACGGCGCACCGCCGCCTGTACGTGCTGGTGGGCGCCATCGTGAGCCTCCAGGTGTACTTGGCCTCCAGCTACACGCACTTCTCCCCCGACCGGCTCCACCTCCCCCACGCCTCCCAATCCCATTCCTCACCAGAGCAAGACAATGCACCCGCCTACTCAATAAACGGCCAAATCCCGCCCGACTGCCCTCCCCTCCCAGGCCTCGACAACATCGTCCTCGTCCTCAAAACCGGCGTCACCGAGTCCGCCACCAAACTGCCCATCCACCGCAACACCACCCTGCGCTGCATCCCCAACTACATCGTCTGGAGCGACTACGACGAGAACATCGCCGATATCCCCGTCCACGACGTGCTATACAACGAGTCCTCAAGCCTGCACCAGCTCCCAGACTTCAACCTCTACACGCGGGTGCAGGAGCAAGGCCGCGACGCCCTAACGAGCCACGATCTCTCCGGCGTGCGCGAGGAGTCCACAGCCTTCGGGAAGAGCAATCCAGGCTGGAAACTGGACAAGTGGAAATTCGTGCCCATGATCTCGCACACCCTGAAACAGTTCCACAGCCCGCAGAACAAGTGGTATGTCTTCGTCGAGGCGGACACGTACATCCTCCTCCCGAACCTCCTCTCGTGGCTGGGCCGACTCGATGCCTCGAGGCCGTGGTATCTCGGCAACCAGATGCAGATACGGGATATCCTGTTCGCGCACGGCGGGAGCGGCTTCATCCTGTCCAGACCGGCGATCGAGGCCGCGAATGGCATCATCCTCGATAAGAGGGGATACTGGGACGCCATCACGCAGAGCGAATGGGCGGGCGACTGTGTGCTGGGGATCCTGCTCGGCCAGGCCGGCGTGGAACTCACGTGGAGCTGGCCGATGCTGCAACTTGCGCCGCCCAAGGAGATCGAGTTCTTCGGGATGAACTACGGGCGGCGCATGTGGTGTTTCCCCGCTGTGAGCTTCCATCATCTTGAGCCGGGGGAGATACGGGAGCTTGTGCGGGTTGAGCGGGGGATTGTGGGCCAGAGAGGCCGGGCGGACGAGCCGATTACGTGGCGCGATATCTTCCTTAATCTTGCGCGGCCGGCGATGGTCAGCGACGAGGATGGGGATGGCGTGCGGCGGGACTGGGATAATGGGGCGTCTGAGGATAAAGGTGTTACGCTGTCTGTGCAGGACTGTCGGGATCTGTGTGCGGCGGATAGGTACTGCTTGCAGTTTGTAAGGAGGGCCGATGGGACGTGTCTTTTTGGACGGGATGCCAGGGTTGGAGGGCACGCTCCGGGCGCGGAGAGTGGGTGGTTGACGGAGAGGATTGACAAGGCTGCGAAGATGCTGGGGAGTTGTCCGCGGGTTGATTGGGGGTGACAGTTGCAGCCCAGGTGGCTTGACTTGGCTTCGTTTCTTTTCTTGTATAGTATTTGGATATGAATTATGACTTTGACTTTGACTTTGACTGCAGTAGTGCTTTTGGCTTCTTGACTCCATAACTTCCTAGGGCTAGGGTACTGTTGAGACGAACTATCGACGAGCATCTGCCTATGCATAAGGAGCATTCTTTCCCGTGCAGATCCCGCTGATCAGCTGCAGCCCCAACCTTCAAACGCGGGATAGCGACGATCATAACATCTCTCATTGTCAAGTTTACTTCTTCTGTTCCTCGTCCGGTTCCGTGGAACCCCTACCTAGGTGGGTATCTTTCGCCTGCAGCGTGATCCTTGTGCGCGCTGACATGATACCTGTCACTAACATACAGTCCTCGAGCCGCCTAATCACAATTTTCAATCTGTGCTTGTCGTCTGGAAGTAGAGATAGCGGGAGTGACCGAGTCGAGCAGGACCAGATGGGATCCTATACAGATCGGGTAGTTCAAGAAGCAGACCCTCGTGATTCGAACAAGTCAAGAAGGTGCTTGCGGCAGCGACTCGAACACATTTCTAGGGCTGGCCTTCGTCTTAAGGCTGGAATCTAATCGAGCCGAGGAAAGATCCCGACGTCCTAGCTGGAATGAGCCCAGAGCCCGGTCTATCACCATCGCACCTTCATTGCACCCATCAGTCGCGAGGGCGTAGCGAGATGTGATTCCTAAGATAGCTGACCGCAGTGGAAGCGAGACATCGGCGCCGTTGCGGACTCGTGGCTTGCTGTTGTCTTTCGCGATGGCAAGGTAGGTGAGCAGGTTTCACAACATGCTTTCCAGGGGATTGTCCATGGAGAAGAAAGGTCAATTCGGGAGCTCGGAAGGTGCAAAGGGGAAGACTCTTGTTGTCTTTGAGGGTTGTTCAGCAACTGAGGGCTAGCCGCTCGGTCTTTGGCAAACTCAGACGGAAATTACTGTACGCTTCTTGCAGGAATATCATTAAGCAGGACCAGTCGTTAGCTGCGTACTGGGTCCAGTCAAAAAGCACGGGGATGGCAAGATCTTCGTTCCTTCCTTGAGACCTCCTCCGTAGCTAATGGCATAGAAGGTTAGTGGCCAGCGAGACGCGTTGGTCTTCCCACACTCGCTGCGGACTCCAATTTCTTCGCCAACAGGTACTTGCGGCACTCGGATGCTGGAAATAATAGAATCAATCAAGCTGAACGACAGGCAGGGAAGGCAGCCATGCAGGTCCCGTCCTCCCTCGTCTAGGAGGCCCTCGAAACCTAGGAGAGAGCCCTCGTTCCGTTTCCCATCGAAGTCTCATCTTTCTGGCTCCATTTTATCCCCAGGTTATATCAGAAACATTTTGTTCGGTGCTGTGACTCGAGCAGGGGACCATTGCGGTGTCGCGATGGAACTCCTTTGGCCGTGGAGATCGCTGAAGAGACAACCTATCTTAATACCAATGACATTCGATGCCTCGCTCTTGTAGGGAGCTGCTTTGAGATACTTTCGCCTGTAACAGTTGTTAGCGATGTGCAAAAGTCGGGAAGATGGGGGAAAGTTGGAAGGATAGAAGCGGGTGCACAGCAGAATATATATCGTCCACCCCAGCGAAAGGAGTTATTTAGTGTTGGCGACTCTTAGCCACAAAGACATGGAGGAATAATAATATCCTCCAAGTTTGTGCCGATTACGTGTTTTTAGCATTTACTGCTGTACGGGAGAGACCCTTGACTTACCGTAGAGTAATCTGTGCTCCGCCGCTCCCTCCGCACTCTTCTCATCGACCAGATCATGATAACCATCATCAGTATACATTCTCAAGTGCCTTACTATGAAATGCCGCGTTCCAAGCCCAGATATTGAAACGAGTCCGAGAAAACAGATTCCCAGAACGCGCTCTAATGACGACGATGTCCACGGATCGGAGCACGAGGCTATTTACGCTTTTGATGAGTTGACCATTGCGCTCTGGTGCTGATCTGATTTAGTTTTCTTTCTGGGCATACAAAATTCAGTCTTCTGTGAGAAACAGCACTATCTATCTATCATGAATAGCCCGGATCACACAAAAACATCGCGTATCTCTCCTCATGCACAACATCCAGCAACAACACCCGAACCCATTCCGTCGCCAATATCCCGGTCGCCTTACGAATCCTTTCCTTATCCTTCACATTCCCCGGCGCGAGCATATTCAATACACAAATAAGACGAACCGAAAATACAAAACTAAGTCACTCACCTTGGCTTTGCAAACAATCAGCCCGCGTGCCAGGACATGGGCGAAGCCCTTCTACAGGCGATCATGAAGAAAATCAACTATAAAAGGCAAAGAGTGCGAAGAGCGTGAGGTGATTGTGCTGAAGGGGCTCAGGCTGATACTCATCAAGGTGTCAAGTAGACTTCCGGTGTCTGTTTGCGTCTCGTGGCGTTGCGCTGGGTTCAACCTTGGCAGCTTGGTGTTGTATACAAGAGCGGGCCCTTCAGCACTCTATTCAGGATTGTAATTGTACATGGCTATTTTCCGCGGGCCATTTCATCATTACGGAACCCAGCTGAGGAACTTTCTATGGGTCCCGTAGAGTCGACACTGCGTCCAACATAGGACGCCAATGAATGAAGCGTTGCTTCTCCTGATCAAGTGGTATCCTGTGCTACATGTCTATGTACATCCGGTCTTCGAGGAAATGCCCCACTTTATTACACCCCCGGAGTGCTAAGCCTTTGACCACCATAATGACCGGGTCAAGCAAGGGTTTGCTAGATATCCGAGAAGAGCGCGCTTCGCCGTTGTGGAGGGTAGCCGCCGAATCCCTCCTTTGCTTGGTCCGTCTCACCGCGGCCGATCGCAACTGCCGGACTTGTCAATTGGCGAAGGTTACAACGCGGTAAAAGGAGGAACTCCCTTTGCCGTCCAAGTGTGCAGTGCTCAAGCCCACCTGCGCCTGGGGCGTTCTCCTCCCCGTCTCCTTCTGATAACACACCCCAAACAGGCCATTTCATTTCGTCGTCGATTCAGCAATTTGCCAGGACAGTAACCCGGTGGAGTTTGCACACATCTCACGATCTCTTTATCGAGATTAAGAGAAGAGTTCTCGCCGGCGAGGTCGCGCACCCAGTCCGGACTCTAATCTCGCTTGGATTCGGACCCAAAAGTGAAGTCGACGTCCTGACCACGGACAACTGGTACCTATAGTCCAACAGAGGCCTTGTATAAAAGGCCCGGGGCATGACAGTCAAGTAGCACACCGCGGATGAAGAGCTCCTTCCCCGCGGGGGGCCCGCAGGTCCGGTTACCGTCAGTTTCCCGGCGATAAAACAGAAAGAGCAGAAATTAGACGGTAAACCGAATACCCCGTAGCCATAGAACGCCTGACCTTGCTCGAGATGCGTAAAGAAGCAACAATGACCAATTGGTTGAAGGTTTTTCCTTCGATACTGGTACTGCCTTCGCCGCCAAAACACAGGCGCGCTCAGTGCTCGTTCGGCTCGACTGGCAGCAAGTATCGGGCATCTCATCTTTGTCAGTGGAGTAATGCTCGTCCAATACCTCTTGGTAGATCGCAAATTTCGACGTCCCGATACGTGGAAGGGATCAAACTGGTTGCAGTCATTCGCGCCTGAGGGCTCGGTTCGGTCACATCATCTGTTTACATCGCGGGGTTGATTCTGCGGCAGCGCAAGCATCTAAACAAATGGACAACAATGAGTCCAAGACCTGTCGCAGTATATTTCAGGAACAAAGACTCACACAAGGTATGGTCGCACTAAGAATCGAGCATTGTCCAACGAGACAAGCGATGAAAGACAGCCCTGACTGAGGCCTGGGCAGGCGGCAGAATCGCTGGAGGCGCGGGCGGTGAGCGAGTTTTTCAGAGTGAAGCCTTAGGCACAAAATGCATTCAGTCAACTTCAATCCTTTGATCTCGAGACGACCACTTTGAACTGCCACAAATGGGGCTCATTGACTTTATCAAAGAGATTATCCGGCCTGGGAATGCTCTGGACTACCCCAAGCCGGGGGATATGGTCACTGTCCACTACCATGGCTACCTGTATGACCCGGCCAGATCATGGGGGAGGGGACGACGGTATGCTGCTACAACTTGATTTTAGGATACTATTGGCTCTATCTGGCTATATCTATCGTTTAAGCAAAGCGCTGCGACTGATCTGTAGTAAAATTGAGTAGCTTCGACAGCAGCATCAAGCGCGGCCGACCGTTTACCTTCCAGCTCGGAATGGGCACAGTGATCAAAGGTTCGCGCTCTTCCCTCGATCAATTGAACTTCTGAACTAACTGCAACATAGGCTGGGAAGTGGGAATCCTAGGGATGAGCTTGGGCGAGAAATCGCTGCTCACATTTGGCCCGTGAGTGTTCGCTTTTCCCTGATTCTGTTGACATCCACTCACGACTGAATCCCATCAGACACTACGGCTACGGCGAGAAGTAAGTCTGAAAACACTGTCGCCTGCATAAGGTCCAGCTCTAATTTAATCCTGGCAGAGGGGCGCCGCCGTTTATTCCTGGGAACGCGACGCTTGTGTTGTGAGTTTCTCTTGCTCGCGCGCTGGCGAGCGGACCGACTGACATCTTGATTCTAGCAATGTTGAGCTTCTTGCGATTAATGGGAGGACCTTGCAGTCTGAGGACTCTGAGTAGATCGATATCTAGCTAGTCGAAGCTACTCTACATTCTGTACAATTACTTCTATCCAGAACCCTAATTGAATGGCGTTCGAAAACTTGACCTGAGCATCGTGCGATCAATGGGAAGCCCCTGGAGTCTGAGGACTCTTAGTAGATAGACATCTCGCGAAACTCGAAGATATTCTAATTTCTGAACAATTACCCCTCTCCAGAATCGAGTAGCGTTCAAAAACTTGGCCAGGGCATCTGACCGTAGGTAGTGGAGCGAGCACCAACCTGCCCCATAGCGATGACTCTGACGTGCAGATCTTGATAAGCAGGCACTGCCTCTTATTGGCTCCCGATCTTCATCTGCTCGCTGCATTCACTGGTTCCTTAATCAGGAACCCTCTGGACCGTGCACGTGCCCTGACTGACAGGGATCCAGCCGCATGTTTCTTTGTTATGATCGCGTACAGTTTCAGTGTTTGTGTGTGCGCTTTTCACGCGCCTATTGTCACAGTATGGTAAAGCGCACACAAAGCGCGGCTACTGAGACAAAGCGCACCTGTCTGACGCTCTGCCTGATGTTTCGGCGGCTAAGAAAGTCGTCTTGGATGGAATCTTTGTCTTTCGAGCACGTCTTTCGACAGGAATAGCTCAACCACAATGAGCTTCTCACGTTGTATACTTCGAGTAGATAATGGCCCTGGTCTCAGGATGTCTCCAGTGAGTTTTGGAGATCCCTCGGCCTTTGGTGCTGGTGTAGCAGCCAGCACTGGGCGGGGGCGCCAGACAGCCCGGGACCCTGAAAAGCTTGGGAAGCTTTTCAGTGCATAGCGGTCGATCATGACTCGGCGTATTCTTCATGCTCTGTCCGTCTCAGTACCGTACTCATGCCCTAATCGCGTTTCGCCTCCCCTCGTCCCCCGCGTACCTGATTATTTCCCAAAATACCTCACACGCTCACGTCCCAAACTTGCTTTGCATGATGTCTCAGCTGGGGTGTGATCCGGTGAAGTCCAAGGGCTCCTGTCTCTGGTGTTGCCGAACTCCCAGACTCCTTCTTCACTCGCAGACTGCTTAAAATGCCCCTCCTCGTCCGAGCTCTCCTTCCCTTTTCGTTCTCTCTTTTCACCAACATTTCCTTCTTTCCCATTTCTTTCCCATACCCTTGACTTCGATTGAGTGTTATCCGTCTTCTTTGCAAGCTGTCTACGATTGAAGTCTCAATTGCAGACTTCGTGCATTCTGTTGTCTTGTTTCTGGAAGCAAGCAGCAGGTTTCTGTCAACACTTGAGCGAACTCAAGCTATCACAAACCCAATCCCATCACAACACCATCTTTTTCTCCTTTCATCACGGTATTCCGTTTTCTCTGAAGCAAAACCTTTACAATTCGTCTTGTCTTTCTGCTATTTCTGTTTCTTTTCGTTTTTCCATCTCGTCTCTGCTTGAGACACTTACCTGCCATCCTGAAGCAAGAGGCATCTTGTCAAACACTCTACACTCTTCTCTGCCCTTGAGTACCTACGACTGTCTTCAACTTCAGAGCACACACTTAACACCCATCACACGTTCCATTTGTTGTCCATCTTGCCGTCTCGGTCTTTTGATTTCCTACATGCAGCAAGATGGGGGGGCCGCGAGTACCGAAACCCGGAGAACCCGGATATGAAGCATATATGGAAGAAAGAAAAGTCCGGCTCAATGACGCCAGCAGACGTTCCTACCAGCGCAGGAGAGAGAGATTGAGAGCTGAGGCTGAAGCAGCGGCAGCAGCGACAGGATCAACGATCGGGCCGCCTCCAGGTTATGAACGACCTCCTAAGCATGGACGAGATGATGATGACGACGAAGGAGACAACGGCGAGGGGTCATCTAAGCGTCCGAAAACACCAAGCGCACCCAGGCCCAAGAGAACAACACGAGCACGGGCAAGGAGAGCAAGCCCAACACCAGAACCAGAACCAGAACCACAACCAGAGGCTCCAATTATTGCGGTACGACCTACAGCCTCGGATGCAAGACCGGGGATGGGGCACGACTTGTCGGGTATGCAGGCGCTCTTTGACGCGACATACGGTGCACCCCCCAGTCAGCCTGAACCCACAATTCAAAACAATTTGACGACCGCTCCCAGCGAAGTCAGCTCCCATTATGTTCCTTCCAGTGCTGCGACGGAGAGTGTGGAAGGACGTCGAGTGTTGAGATCGTCGACGCGCGCACCAACAGGTTCAGTTGCCAGTACCAGCAATCTCACCACCACTACTGATCTGTCCACTGTTGTGGCGGATAGTGCGGCTCGTTTCCTTGCTGCGATGGCCAGTCTGCCTTCCACCAAGGGTTCGAGGCCTGGTGCTGCTACCTCCAGTACCGTTACCACCAGGGCGGCTCCTGCCAGTGATGTTACCACCAACGACGCGCACCCTGATGATGCTACGATGGCCAGTCTGCCTTCCACCAGGGCTTCGAGGCGTCGTTCTGCTACCCCCAGTACCGTTACAACCAGCGCGGCTCCTACCAGTTATGTTACCACCAACGACGCGGACCCTGATGAGTCGTGGAGGGCGGAGTCCCCTTCGCCTTCGGACTCGGAAGACGGGAATCCCAGTTCTGATTCTTCGGACTCGGAAAACGAGAATCACAGTTCTGATTCTTCTTACACGGAACGACGGCCCACGCAACGACGGCCCACGCAACGGCAGCCCACGCAACGGCAGCCCACTGCACCTTCGACAAGCAGCTTTCGGTCCGTAGAGCCAGAATACCGGACCCGTCGACAACTGGAGCAAGATGCCATTAGAATGGCTAACTCCAATCTGGCCGCTCATAGTTTGACCAATCCATATGGCTGGACCACAGGAACCTTGACGTACGTCCATTGGTTACCGCTGCCGCCTGTTGACTATCTCGCACAGCTGGTAAAGCACCTGCATCGCCCGAATTCCAGGAAGAACATGCGCGGTATCAGTAGGAATTACTATGACGTCTACATCTATCATTTCGGGGATCACTACAAGCTAAGGGCGAATATGGAAATGGACTATGCCGCGCTCGTGCCTATCGTCGTCGACTGTTATGCGAGGAATGATGGCAGGCCAATCGGGGCTTCAACGGGTACCATTTGCGATCGATGCTGGGTAAGTTCCCATTTCTGTCTCTGACTTCCTGCTCTTTTCTTTCGTGACAGCTAATTTGTCTAGTTTCATGGCTCTCGGTGTACATCAACAGGAGACAATTCGTGTATGGCTTGCAACAGAGCACATCAACCCTGCACCTTCACCGACCGACGCACTTTCGTCACACGGCACCTAGCTGGTACTGCTCAGTACAACTGGTCCATTCAGCACACTGGAAAAATACCGAAGGAGACCGCAACTCCAAATGCCAGCCGGCTGTTTGTTAACTGGGAAGACACCACGTTGTACCCACTGCCGCCTTTGCCGCCGCCTGATACCGACGTGGTGAGGCGAGGCGCAAGCAGCGAGCGAGAGCGTTTTAAGAATAGGGTTCCTCTGCCGCAGTTACCTTTCAACAGGCCGTATCAGGTGCCAGACAGCATGATTGAGAAATACCCGCATCTGGCAAATGCCGGGCCATGGCCACTTCCAGAGCCATTCCCGACCAGTTATGAGGTAAGTTCTCAGCCGCTACACAGGCAATGGCACACCGCTAACCGGACGTAATAGCAATGGGTTGGTAGGGAGTCGGACGAAGCTTATGAAGAGCGACGTCGCAGGTGGGACGAAATCGCCGAGTACTTGGCAATTGCGAGGGATAAATATAAAAAGACTGTCAATTCAAAAACCTACGTCCCGAGAGCCAAAATTGCACGCACCCGTGAGCAGCAAATGACCTTCATGAGGAAGCAGTTCTTTGCATACAAGTACGATTTTCTAGATAAGGGGAGGTCTAAGCCACGGGGACGCGAGAGATACCGGATAGAAACGGCGGGCGAGGATTCGACGGCTCGGGCACTGGCTCGGGAAACGGAACATGGTGTCTATGAGGAATCGGAGCACGAGAGCGAAGGCGAGGGCAATGGTTCAGCTGCAGGCCGAAATCGTCTTCGTCGTGCTGCTCGGGATCGAGCTCTAGCTCAAGCTGCAGATCGAGCAGGTCGCCGGGAAGGTGCGGCATCAGTGAATACTCTCGAGGACCACGCCAACGACGTGTTGGACAAGCTGGAGAAACTGAAAGACGTGCTCAACCAACGCCAGCTTGGTAGCTACGCCGACGTCCTCCAGTCAGTCAACCGGTTTATTGGCTTCACACGTGGCATCGGTGCCCGGGTCCGAGGAGAACTTGATTCCACGCCGGCTGATTCTCTGGATCCTCCTACGGCTCCTCCCATGGCTCCTACTATGGCTCCTCCTATGGCTCCTCCTGTGGCTCCTCCTATGGCTCCTACTATGGCTCCTCCTGTGGATCCTGCTAGCCGTTATCCTCTGGATTATACTCCTTCGCTTATTTCTTCTCCGGCTCTTTCTCTCCCCAGTGCTCGACACCAGCCGTCTCCTAACTACATGGCTCCAACTCAATTCAAGCGCCCACGAAGAAACGTTCCTACCCCCAATCAGCCATCTACACGTCGCCAGAATGCCACGACCGATAACCAGCGCAAGCTCCAACAGGTACGCGAGAGACGGGCCAAGAGACAGAACGCCAGCTCCCGTGTCCAAGAACGTGAAGATCCTGTTTCTTTCATTGACCCTGCGATCCTTGGTTCCGGGGGTGTCACCCACGCCCCTCCACCCGCTGCCCCCACACGTCCCGTACGCTCTCGGCAACCCCAACAGCTTCCTGGTGGAAATATATCTAACGGGCTTGACTTCGACGAGGCTCAAGGGCCCTTGGAGATGACGGAGGCCGCTTTCCCTAATCCCCGTCGCCCGTCTAGACGAAATGCCGCCGCACCCGCCAACAATGCCATGCCCTATGCCCCCGCGTCTAGCTACCAGGGGCATTATAATCAGCCGGCCGACTCAGACGACGATGGCTTTGACAATCAGTGGCATCAGGCCCAGGAGTATCCTGAACCTCCGTCGTCTGACCTGCCCGAGCCTATCATTCCGCCGCCTCTGCAGCCTCCACAGCCTCCGCAGCCTGAGCAGTCTGCTCCGACGTCGAAGAAGCCTAGAAAGGAGCCTACTAGGCGCAGTCGGAGGATCCAGAACGCTTCCTCGAAAGCTGACTCAAGAGCTGACTCGAGAGATAACTCGGATGTGGACATGAATGACGCTTAATCGGGCTTTCAAATCGAGCATTTCTTCAGAGAGAGACTGCGTTTAATCAGATCTTCTCTACGACCTCTTTACCATGATCTACAAAAACCGCGAATACTTTGCAATTTTCTTATGTTATTTCCTTTGTTGTTCTACCGATACGTTGCCATCTACCATCTAGGGATCGCAGTCCAAATCTCTCTTGTCTCATCTCATCTCGTTTTGCAAGTCGTTTCGTCCTTACTCAAGTTCGTTCTGTTTTCTTCTTTTTGATTCTGTTATGTCTTTCATCTCCACTCATACTCATTGACTTCGCGTCAACAGTTCAACAGTCACTCTTTTAACAAATTTCCTTTGTGATCATTGTTTTATTCCATATTTATGTTTTTCATAATATCTCTCCACTTAGTGACCTCGTGTCAACAGTCACTCCTTTAACAAATTTCCTTTGTTATCATTGTTTTTTCTTCTTGCTCCATATCTTGTTTTGTTCCGCTCAGCCAAAGTATCTTCAGCGCAGGCGTCACGGCTCTGGTTCCACTCTTGCTTTACTGGGAATACCCTCATGTCAGCTTTTCTCTGTCATTGCCATGTTTTCCAACTGCGCGGCTGCATATCGTTATCCAACCGCAATGCGTGTTGATTTTGCTTTTCTTTTGAGATATGCGAGACCTAGATGTGGTTAGTTTGTTAACGACCAAAAAAGGGTTTAAAATTGAATAACTTATCAAAATGTCGTCGTCGTTTTGTAGGTGCGATGTAGATCTGGTACATGTAGACGGTAGATAGCCTCTTCGTCTTCCTTGGGGGAGTAGAGTTCGTTTTAAGTAACTGATCTATCAAGTCTGATAGTCAAACACGCAAAACGTAAGATATTAAGGCGTTGATACGCTGTGCAGTAGGATGGTAATGTTGAACCGTCAAGTAGTCTTCCCCCCTTCCGCGATACGACAAGTTAGGGCTAACGAACGCGCGGCTGCAGTGTCCGGATGGCACTTTCTACCGACACTGCAACTCAGTCATCGCTCCCTTCATCCGAAAGACATATTGGAACAAGGGGGAAATTAGGGCTAGGTTGGAAAGTACAATCCCGAGTCGTGTCGGGGGCCAGATCACCCGGCGCGTGCACTTAGGGCTTCCGGTGCCGGCATACGAGTACGCGGTCCAATCAGTTGGTGACAAGTACGCAGTTTGCGGGCTAAGCCTTGCGATCAGCGGCGGCACGGAGGCCGAAATCTTAGTGGCGGGTCTGGCGGCTGAGCTGAGAATGAGATGGCTGAGCACAGCCTGCCGATCGTACTCCGTAGCTGAAGGCTGAAGGTGAGCTGGTGAGGGTATAAGGGGGTATTCTGCTGCTCTCCAGGTTGAAGGGCGATTCGTCTTTCCGGTCGAATTTCCTCTTTTCTACTACAGGGCTGAACGGGTTGCTTTTCCACCCTTACCCTGGGTTCTCGAGGCCTCCAACTCATCGGACGGTCTGAGCCTTACGGTACCTACGGAGTCCCTACCATACGGTAGCAGCGATCTATCCCAACCTTACTAGATCTCATTAAATCTACCTCGCATCCAATCTGTCTCCAAAGCGAACTATCTACGCCAAAACCACCCACATCAAGAACCAAGAGAAACCAAGAGAAACCAGACGCAAAAAGCAAAAATAAAATGTGCCTCGGTTTTCTCGGCCTCCTGAATCGCTACGCGCGAAAACACCACGCCAAAGCCGCGGCGCGACACGAGCAGAACCAGAATCAGAACCAGAAGCAGAATACGCCTCAAGGTCCCCGGCCGGTGCCGGTAGCCAGCGAGGTGGGAGCTTCTATATCTATGCCTGCGCCTGCGCCGCCGAAGAGTGAGGGTGCGCTTTTGGCGAAAGCCGAGATAATGCCGGCGCCGACGCCAAGGGCTACGGTCTGACTCGATTTTGTTGGGAAGGAGGGACAGGATTGCGTTTTGGGGTGTTTTATGGCTTTCTTGTTTTTGAAGCTGGATTGATGAAGGCGTTTCTTGCTGTGGAGTTTGAGCCTGCGAGCCGAGGGATCTGGATGAGTCGGAGACCGGTGGGAATATGAGGTGGGTTGCGAGTAAGAGGCTGAATAGGTAGCTTCGATGTGAGGTCATTGCATGAGCGATAATCTTTCGTGGATTTCCAGCGTAGAGTACTCCGTGAGGATAAGGTCAGCCGAAGCTGTGGGTTCAATGCAGAAATATATATCAGGTCAGACTGACTGCGGTCGTACAGCGACAGCGCACTTTCCGTGCAATGATAGAGTCCAGTTGATATCCTCGAATGTACTACCATATGGAATCAATAGCCGAATGTCAAACGTATGGAGGTTTATTACTCGTAAACTGTCTCGACGAAAAGGGCCCTGCGTGTGGAAAGTCTTGGCGCTCCACTATTGGACGGACAGACCCAGCCCCGTGACCCGCTGACTCAGCGATTGGCAGAGTTCGTCCGTTCCTGTTTCTCTGTTTCTCCTCACGATTTCCCCGCAACCCACCTCTCCCCTTGTTGATCGCTCTCTCTCGCTCTCGCCCACCATGAGGGAAAAGGCCCAGAGGCTCCCGCGTGTCGCTGCTAAGAGCTGGAAATCCAACGCCCCTCCTTACAAACCCGGCAAGCCTGACGCGTTCCGCCCCGCAACGCCCCTTCCCGAATCCTTACTGTCTGTTCCCCCCCAAGCACGAACCCGCAACTACCCCGAAACCTGGAAGGCTCCGAAGGTAAAGTCTCCTAAGCGGGCTCCCGCTGCTCCTGCTGCCAATGACTCAACAGAACCTCCTGCTCCCCCGGGAGCTGCGAATGGCGCGGCATCTAACCAAATGGCATCTTTACTGGGATCGATCAAAGCGCAGCAAGAGCAGCGAGCATCGTACACTTCCCTTGTACAAACTGTCGACGACAATTATAAAAATCAGCTTGAAGCTACGATGAGTTACCACCAAGAATCCCAACAGACAAAGATGAGACTGTATGAACAATGCATCGACGCCATGAACGAAAACAAGAGCGACATTCTGTCGGTTTGTCTTTCTTCTCTTCCACTCGCGCCATTCAAAATGCCTGATTGCTCACTCCAACTCATAGGCAATAGCGGATGTCTTCAACAAGTGGCAGCCCTCGACCCACAGCTCCCGCCAAGGTAGCGACGCCTTGGATGAAGATAAAGTGAGTCACGAGGAAATCCAGGCTTTTTTATCTCGCAAATTCGACGACAACCCGAAATCAATTGCGATCAGACTGGCCCATGTACGCTTCCCCTTCTTGCCAATCTACTCGGTATTGATGTCGCTTACCCCTTGTAGGAACAGATGGCTTACTACATGGTTGTTGTTGATGGAGATGCAATGAAGGTGTGTTCCTGACCGACATCTTTCCCGGAGAAAGCCACCCAGACGCGCCTGACCGATCCCAACCACGCTTAGTTCAACCCAGAGTTCATTAGGCAAGGCTACGATGGCGGTAGAAGATTGGCCAAGGAGTTCAGAAACAAGGTTCGCCAATATTTGGAAGAAGTTCGTGGATACAGCCGTGCCACTCGGCGTAATCACACTCCTGCAGAGACTATTCTCCGAGTCTTCGCATCCGTCAAAGGCCTGAAGAAAATGTACCGCGAGGCTGGGTACATATCCTCAGATGATGTCTTTGATGCTTTCATCCAAGGGTTTAATCTCAACGTAAATTGTGACTTCATCGATGTCGGAACAGGACCTGATAGGGCTGATACTAAGGTGAAAAGTAGGTGGTCAGATCATTGGAGGATCTGGAAACCTAGCGGCTAATTCGTCGCCATGCCACAGGCAATTTCATAAGAGCCACCAAGGATTTCCACTGTCTCCACATACTATTTTGTGCCTGCACAGACAGTGGCTACGCGCCTGTACTCGCCAAGGCTAAACCTACTCAATCGCGTATAAGTCTGGTTAAGGCGACGCCATTCGCCCCCTTATTGCAAGCGTTTACGGACACTTATAGCACGGCCACATTCCCGGACATATTCATGTCAGACGAATTTGAGAACACGAAACCGCCTTCCCTCAGAGATTACGACAAAATTTACATGCACCAACCGTCACCCACAGACACATCAGGAAGTCGCCTGGCTGCCATTGAAAGGAAAATGGCCCAGATGATCGATTTACTCCAAGAACCGAGGACAAACAGTCTTCAATCGACCGGCCAACCGCCTATCATAAATCACGACTCTCCCGCCGACTTTCCAAGACCTTTGGACATCCTCGATGTAGATCTTGACCATCAGTCTAGCAGTCGCCTAGAGTCAGTTACAGAGGACATAAAGGAAGAAGATGGCCAAGACAACAACAAAACACGAACGCTACATGGGGCTGCGCGCGCATCAAGCCCGGGGACTCCTGCAAAAGACCTACCCGGGCATAACTCCGAAGATCCCGAGCCCAGCGACAAGCCCAATGAGCAACAAGAGGCCAGAAACCCCGAGCATGCCGACGCATACGGGCAAGCTAGCTTTCCCGAAACGCTAGACGGCAAGCGGGAGTTCCTGGAAGCGTGGGCCGCCAAACTGGACAAATTCCTCTCGGAGAACATCGAATCCCATGCCGCTGAAAACGCCCGCCTGCACAGCCATGCCATGCGCCAACGCAAGGACTGGCCGGAATGGGAGCGCATGGCCGCCATGTGCAAGAAACTCAGCAAGGACCCCGACCTCAAACAGCTGGGCCTGGTCAAACAGCTAGAAGTACTTCACAAACGAATTCAAAACGGCCTGGACAACATCAAGACGGTGAATGTTCATATGTTGGATAACGTCGTAAAATCCAACTACCATATCCAGGTGGACACCCGGATAACAAGTGACATCGCCAAGCGATATCGCAGCCGTTCGAAGGTTGTCTTCAATTTGAAAGCCAATAAGGCTGCTGCCAATCGCTCCCGACGTTGATGGTTCTGGTGCCGTTGGAGATGGGAGGCGTGTGATCGCGCTCTACCCGCAGGCGCTGAAGCCACGAGCCCGCACCTGCAGCTGCACCTTCCACCCCGGTTTCGGGTTGGCGGCTCACTGAACCTCCAGTTGGAGCTACCAAATCCGACCTCGTCAGCTAGAACAATACGGGAAAAGATATCGACCCCCGGCCCTTGCTCGTGCGTCCCGCTATCGGCAAGGCCATCAGCTACATGGATCTGCTTTGCCCTGTCGGCGTCAACCCACCCTCGCGAAATCCAATCTTGTCTTCGTGGACTCGATGCATCCTACCCGACGGACCTGACTCAATCTCTCCTTCTCCAGCGCTCGGAATACATTGGAGGTGCATATACGGAACTGCTATTGTATTTCTAGGAATGCTTGGTATATGTGTATAACATCTTTCGGGTTTGCTGCTTGTTGCCTTCCTTAGAGAGCGCATGCATTTGGTGCGATAAAAGCGATATACAGGATAATATACATGTTGCAACGCTGCTGAGCGGCTTGCCTTTTTATTGGAGTCCATATCCATGTAGCTATCAGGTTGAGTTTCCATAATCCATTGTAAGCGTTTCGGTTTCAGGAATGTTTATCTTGAGAGTATGGCCCGGAGAATCCACCTGGGACACCAGATCGACTCGGAGATGTTTCCAGTTCGAGGTTCCTTCTTGACACTTGTATCAGTTTCTTGAGACCATGCGGTTTCCTACTTCGCTCTACCTGAAACGCAGACAGCCCGAGTCGATAGGCATGGTAAATACCCCGATGCACTGAGTGGATCGTGTTTTAAAGCGAACGTTATCACCGGTTACTCAGAACTGTAGTCCTTCGAAGCCGATGTCGTATATCCAAACGCGTACTTGCCGGTACTTGAGGTTATCTGCCTTCCTACATCCGCAATGCACCGGGCCTCTTATTGCAGGTGGTTAGGTCTACGAACTGCAGGTGTGTTTATCGCCCTCCAGCTCCCACCTCCTTAACACCCGCATTACTGTTTCCGAAGGTTCAAGGGCTTTCCCCATGCCCATCACCGCAAGCGCAATCATCGCACTGTCCAGGACATCCACCGAACAGATGGAAGGAAAATGAAATGGGGGGATGACTTCAGTTTGCTCTGGATTGTCCATCTTGCCAAACTATGGCCTTGGCTATGCATCATGGATTCAATTGTTAGGGTCGAGTCGGTTCCGGGCATGTGCACAACGCTACGGTTATCAATTCCACTAGCAAACAATCTACATTCATGATGGTAATCGGCCGAACTGAAAAGTAACCTTCTGATAAGAAACTGGGATACTTGAATATGGAAGGTTCGTTGTCCAGGCTTCTGCCCGGAAAATTGTGCATTGGTTCGGAGGTGTCTCTTATGGCTCGCTTCTGCAGCCTGGACATTACGCTCCCTCGTTTATTTTGTGAGCAGAGTATCTGGGATCGAAGGAAGGCAACGATGAGACGCATTTAGTCACAATCGCTGCTGGTGTACCTTAGGCCGCATGACTCTCCTGGAAACACCATAGGTACAGAGATATGACAATGATCGGGGTGCGTTTGCAATCATGCCGCATCTTGCTGCCCTTACCGAACACATCGACGTCCGGAGATAACCACTCCCAAGAAGGTGGACGTGATATCGGGGCAGCTAAAAAAATACGCATCAGCTGGCAGTTGCCAGGCCCGGGTGCGATCAACCCTCCCGATGCAGACGCAATCACAAACCATGGCCTTCCAGAGAACAGCTGGAGTATGTTACAGCAATGCCTCAGCCCAAATCTCGAGCGGAGCTTACCGAGCATATTTCGAATCGGACTAAACCCCGCAAAATAGATGCGATTGCGCGAGTCATGCTTATCACTTGACACAGTGGGCTGGTATGGATGTGGCAGTCGTTCAGCTGAAATGTTCAACCTGAAGCTCACCAAAGGATGGCTGACTGGGAGATCTGAAAGTTGATAACTGGGCGGACAAATCCTTCTCTTAAGGTAGCTAGGTGGTTAGGTAAGTAGGTAAAACCATACGCCGAGACCTCCTATCTCGCATAAAGCAAAGAAACAGGACCCGAGCGGCGCAGTCAAGATGCAGCCCGGATCTGCATGCGGCACCCTCGGCTGTGCGGACCCTGCACCAGACATTAACTCGGCGGCCCTAGTTCGGCGCAGCTTGCTACCAGTGCGAGTGGACGACCGTTGAGCACGAAGCCTGCGTGCCTATTGGATGGTGAGCCCTATGATTTGCAGGTAGGAAGCGGGGGTGGGGTTGGGTGGTAAGCCTGCAGGTGCTTAGATGTGATAGCAGGGTACGTACTGCAGGGCGTTCGTAGATCACATACTACCTGAAGCGTCCGAACAATCTTACTGGACTTCGAAGCTTCCAGGGCTGTTGATCATTTCAGTATAAACCACATGAGCCCGGATCACCCCGTCATGCTTCGCAGGGTGGACCACTCAGACCCTATGATCCCCAGAAAGCTCCACATATGGCGTGCGTGACGCCGGCCCGTCCCGACTCCATTTGACAGGGTCTCATATACCCAACCGAAGTATGTCGAATCAGAATTATACACGTTCGGGAACGACCGAGCAGGTGGTGGTCAGATGAGTGGGATAACAGCTAGATGACCTATCCAGAGCTTGTTCGGTTTGCCCTGGAGTTGATAGGGATGGTTGACTGCAACGCAAGACCTGGAGTGACGCACAATGGTGTCCATACGTAGTGCTGTAACAGGAGAAAGACATGCACTGTGATGCACGCCCGAGTATAACCCGTGATCCCGAACAGCGTGGGGAGGGATTTGGATGGAAAAATGGATAACCAGATGATATGTGATTACCGCTCCAGCGGTAGGGAGAAAGTCCATAAATACCGCCCATCATCCGGTTGAGAATGCTTCCAACTCAGGCCTTCAAGCACCTTCATCACTATCTTCGTTCTCAACTCCTCCATTTTCAAGACTTCGTCAGACCCCTCCCACCACCATGCGCGTTGTACAGCTCGCCTTGCGCTTTTCGCTAGCGGTCTTGCCGTAACAGCTGCCCCTGCTCCTGCCTCTGCGCTCGACTCCGCTGGTGTAGGCGATATCGTCGCCGCAGCTGACGTTTCTGTTGTTGGTTCTGTCTCTACGGCGGACGCTGTCTCCAACACCGAGTCCCTCGCCGTTACTGAAACCAACGAGAAGAATCAAGCTGCAGCTGACCTCGACCCTGATTGCAGTCTGTCCAAGTCCCACTGTGGGGTATGAAGAAACATCCCTCTTATTACTTTCCTACATGACTACATGATCGCACATCAAACCTCTCTAGACAATCAGTTATACTAACAAGCTGCCATCGCGCTAGGAGTGCAATGGTACGAGCTGCAGGATTGTATTCAAGAACTAGTGAGTCTCTTCTTGGGCCATCCCACCCGAGCCTTCCAGGAAAGCCGTATAGCAGCATGCATATACTGATGTGATTTCACGGTATACAGTCCTTGTGACGCTGGCAGTGTATGAAGCTTCCTCCTTCTGGTCTAGCCTAATTGATGCTTACTTCTCCCTCTACACAACGCTAACATGTTTTCTCTTGTGCAGTGCACCAAGCAGCGGAGGTGGGGATGGCAAGAGGTGCTATGATAATAACCTTGGTGGCCCAGGCCCGAGGCACATTATTTGCCCCGGAAAAAGACACTAAGGGGTCGGTATTGGCGAACAATGTCCTCGCTGAGGAAATTCAGTGGCTCTAAGTAAATAGCGCCGCCTACAACTATTTCCCGCTTGGTTCTGAACGTGATTACATAGGTGGAGGACAGAAGGATCGGACTCCGTGTTCCGTCACTCTTTATGAATGACAAGGCAGTATCAGGCAGGAGGCCTGTGGCGCCGGGCTTCTTGCCCTGATCTAATACGCTCGTTACGAATGTTATGTCCTTATGTTGTTATGTGCCTATGTACTTACCTTGCTCACGCTATGTGCCCGCTCTTCAACAAGCCAGGCCAAGCGAAGAGAATGACACTCTGATTTTGACTCTCCCTAGAGGCTCTCTTCCTGTGAATAGGAGAAAGAGCTGAAGAACAGGCCTAGGTGGGATGAGACGTACCCTTAGCACTTCGAGCCCTTATCTTCCTACTGAAAAGGAAATATACACCCTGTACCGTATGTCAATCGGACTGCCAGCGCACCGGGATATCGAGTACACTCAATCACTGCTGCAATTTCCAAATGGGCATGGATGTCCTCATCGGCCTCACAAAGGGATTGGATGCGCCAATACAGGTAATGGTCGCCTCTACCCCAGCTTGAATACGAGTAGCTGTCTGAGCTTATCCAATAATGTCTGCATAAGCTGACACCCAACTGTTTACCGCACTGCCGTCAATTCGTCTCAGGATGTCAGGGTTAGCAATATAGATCCTAATCGAAATGCTGTATCTGTTAGAGTGCAAGTTGCCCTGCCCCTATGGCTACCATCTAGGTAACTCATGACCCTGAGCACAAGCCCACAGTCCGGTATGATATGGCCTTTGTTAGCAAGGACTCTTGCGTGGGTAGTAGTGTGACATTCAATTCAAGGTCGACGACTTTCGGGCTAGTGTCGGAAGCCACAGTGGACAAGTTGAGGGTAATCGTCTGCATTATGTTGTTCCTGATAGCAGGCCGCTGCTGGTAACTCGGCCCCTTTGCCTCGGTGTTATGCTCTGTCTGCATAAAAGTCAGATGTGTGTTGGAAATACTTGGTCAAACTATACTGCACAAAGACGTATGTCATAGGCATTTGATTGGAATCCCTTAACCTCGACGACAAGCTTGTCTTCGATGTCTAATTGCTTGAGATAAAGGCCAACGGATATTTGGAGCAGTGATGGAGGAGCAGTGGTAAGCGAGGCATCGGGTGGGCGACCCCGCGGAGATCGCGACCCACCATCCTTCCTCCAGCTCTCCAACGCAACACCAAACCACGCAACACGACCTGCGCGATCAATCATGTCCAACCTGGAGGCCATGCTCCCCGCCACCGACGGCTTTGTGCACCTCCACCTCCTCAACGGAGGCAGCATGACAGCCGAATACCACAAACTGCACGCCGGCGAACCCGCGGAGGAATTCCGGCTGTACAACTGGGCGTTTTTGATCCAGCATCCGACGCTGAAGAGGAATGTTGTTTGGGATTTGGGGATGTCCTCGGTTCGTTCCCCTCCCGTATTGCTTTCTTGATACACGCTGATTGCTCATTTGTGCCCGAAGAACCCAGAGGACTTCCCACCCGTCATCGCCAACGGCGTGATCAAAGACGCGAAAATCTTGGATCCGCGCGAGCCACTTGTCGCGCAGATTGAACGGAGGACTGGAGTTGCGGCGGATCAGGTTGACACTGTTCTGCTCAGGTACGAGCTCACCCTTCCTCCTCATTATCTAGTCCTTCGGTAGGTTGACGACTTCTAGCCACGCCCACTTCGACCACTGCCGCCCGATCACCCCCCTTTTCCCCGCCGCAACAGCCTACTTCGGTCCCGGGACAGCCGAGTTCTGCAGCCCGGGCCATCTAGCCGATCCCTCCTCCCCGTGGGACGGACGATACTTCGACCCGAACCACGCAACAGAGCGGTGGTCAACGCTCAGCGGCCCCTGGGTACCATTCGGACCCTTCGATTCCGCAATGGACTTCTTCGGCGACGGCAGTTTCTGGATTATCCAAGCGCCCGGCCATATGCCAGGTAACCTTGCGGCGTGCGCGAGACTCTCGAGCGGGGAGTGGGTTATGCTGGCAAGTGACTGCTGCCATTCGAGGGGTTTGCTGGAGGGCAGCAAGGAGATCGCGACGTTCGATGTTCCTGGTGGGGGCGTGGGGTGTTTGCATGTGGATGTTGAGGCTGCGAGGGATACGTTAGGGAGGATTAGGGTGTTGCGGAGGGAGTACGGGGTTCATGTTGCGCTTGCGCATGATGCGAGTTGGATGGAGAGGGAGGAGGATCATGTCCTGATGTCGTTGCTTGATGAGGTGTTTAAGAGGGATATGCGGAGTGCTTTGCGGAATCAGGAGCCGTTTTGATTTGGGGGTTTCTTTGAAGGGGATTTGGATAGCGCATCGAGCGAATTGTACGGTAGGGAGGTCTAAGTCAAAGCTAGAGAAGCTTTGGATAGATGCCTAGGATAGAATATATGATGCTGGCAATATAGAAAAGTTACTCTGTCTTGGTAACATCCCTGTGAACGCAGCCCAATTTGATGGAGCTGAGGCGAGAGGTACTGTCTGTTTATAAAAAGCCGAAGGGGATCAGTGTTTGCATTGCGCTTTCAGCCTTGATAGTAGGTTTATATGCTTACCTATTGTGCGATAGGAGACAGGAAAATTAACCGCATTAAAAGGCCGGACTCATTGACCCGGTGGCCCCTTCCCACCACCAAGTCAGCTCTTTTCTCCAGGGTCTCAACACACTGCACTCACCGCGGGAACCTTTTCTTTCCAGCTCATCCATCCACGCCCAACCCGACCATGTCTGCTCCTCAGCCTTGCCCAGGCACGCCATCAATCTCTAGACAATCTCTCTCAACTGCCTTATCTCCTCCGCTCCTCCTTCAACCCCTTCAACATCGACCGCCAAAGGTGACCGCAATACGGACTGGACGCCTCACTCATCATCAGCATGGCCTCCACGACCACAGTGACCCAGAAGGCTCCGAATCGAGGGCCCCGTAGTCCCACCGCCGATCCTCGAAGCAAAAGATGCCATGCTCGAACACGATTCCAGTCTCCGAATGCCTATACAGAGGACGTGTGTCGGAGCAACAAGGAGAGCGTTCTTTCGTCATTGAAAATGAGCCCCAATGTCACACGGCGACCATTTCATTGTCCCCGCCGATGGGTTGACGGCAACTGGCTCTGAATCAACAAAAGTGCGTGGAATTTGAGAGGAATTTTCATGCCCGAGTGTGAATGCAACAAGCCCATACAGCCTGGAGGGAAGCCAGACAAGCCTCCAGGAGCCTCCTCCGCCACTTTACATCCCGTGAATGGATTGACGCCGCGAAGTTCCAACCCAAAGCTGCTCGTGCAAGAGCATGCGATTATCGAATTTCGCCAAATGGCGGTTGGATGGATGCGGATGTCTATCGCGCAGGGTATTCTTCTGATGACCGGGTCCTTGATTCTAAAGTCAAGTCAAAAAGCCTTCATTAGCGGTGGAGGCCACTGCCTAAACTCAACTATATTACCGGGCTACTATTAGGTTGACGAGCTGGGGTAATCCCCAGCGGTGCATCATAGTCCTTTGCCTAGGATGAGCTGAGATCGAATCGCGTTTTCTATCCCATTGCATTGCAAACACGGAGACAGAGTGGCCAATCTGTGGCTTTCTGCCCAATATCTCCTCGTGAATTGTACGACACAAGCATCGCTGCTTACTTGCGGTAGGTGGGAGCCCCGCACGAACCCCTCTTTACCCTGACATGGTAGGATGAGGCTGGCTGAGGGCTGCAATGACGAGCGTTAGGGGAACTATGGTTCGTGGAACACCGTCAGTGCCCAAGAAGGCTACCGGTGTCAGCCAGCCACGCCAGCTTACAGGTATATAGTGTCTCGTCTTCCTCTGATCGCTTTCCTCTGTTGAACTCAAACGCCTGCACAACTTCGCAACAGACGCATCATCCATCCATCCCATCAGACCAAACTACCTCTCTCTCTGCCACTTCACGATGGTCGACGCAGTCTACTTCTACCCCCCAATCCACCAAGCCTACTTCTTCAGCGGCCTCCGCTACGCCCGCATCAAATTCACCCCGGGAACCAGCCACGAAGAAATAACCTACGGCCCTCGCCGTATCGTCGAGCACTGGCCATCACTAGCCTCAATCGGCTTTGGCAGAATCTCTGCCGTCCTCCCCATCGACGGCAAGCCCGAGGAGGCCTACTTTTTCTCCGGCGCCCGCGTCGCACACATCAAGTTCGACTACGAGTCCTACACCGACAGCGTGCTCGGCGGTCCGTGGACGATCGCCGACAAATTCAAGAGTCTGCGCACGCCTGAGTTCGGTACGATTGACGCCGCGATCCCGGTCCCCGGTCACCCCGGCCAGGCCTATTTCTTCGCGGGTACGAACTATGCTCGCGTTGATATCGTGGGAGACACTGCGGTTGTTGCTTCGAGGGAGATTACCAGCCACTGGCCTGGTCTGAACAAGGCTGGGTTTGACTCGGTTGATGCGGCGTTTCCCCAGCCCGGAAGCGAAGATGGGGTCGCGTATTTCTTTAAGGGCGATAAGTATGTGAAGATTAAGGTCGTCGCTGGTGAGCCCGATGAGATCACGTATGGGCCCGAGACTATTATTTCGCAGTGGAAGACGCTTGAGTGGATCTAGTGCAGGTGCATAAGGATCGTGGTGCTGCGACTGCGATCGGGCAAGTTCTATCCGGATTTGCCAGGACTATAATTCTCTTACTGCATCCTTCTATCATCGTATATGCCTAGTAAAGAGCAATCAGATTTCTTTGACTCACCCAGCATGAGCTACCCCGTAATTCGCCATAATCAGGTCATGTCCACGGTCTTCCTTCCATCGTCGGTAGAGCACAAAGGCCACATTTCCCAGAAAAGTGACCCAATTGACGAGTGCATATTGTGGAAGGATTCCTTCTCGAAAGCCCGCATCGCTGGCCGGCCTGGGCCGCACAAGTTGGCTTGGGAAAGCTTATTGCAAAGTCTCAAGATCTCAGCTCTAGTAGTGATGGACAGGCTGATCTCCCAGGCTCCGCTCCGCTGGCCGAGGCTTCGCCGGTGGCATTTGCGCGGTGCTGCAGGTGTGTTATGCATCAATGTCCCTTGAGCGGATCTCCCACCCTGCAGGTGCCTGTTCATTTCGTCTGACTGGAAACCACTACTGGACCCCGTCTTTCTTCCTTATCCTACACCTCTCTTCCCACTCGCACTCCCATCATCCATCCTTTACTCCCAACACACCTGCTACTTTCCCCATCTCGCCTTCAGCGTCATCAATCACTCTCGACCACGTCCGTCTTCACTGTGAGTCTTCTCCCATCGTCATCGCGTTTCTCTCCATTGCCAGCCAGAAAAGATGAAGAGACCTGTCCTTCACTAACACAGCCCACGTCTAGAAACAGCAGCAATGTGCGAACAGGTGAGGACAAAGATCAAACATCACTGCAACTGTCTCATCGATGCCCCCGTTGTCCTCAAGCCCAAGGACGGCTGCAACGGATGCGGAATCCCCAAGAGCCAGCTGTACTTGGGTCTGACCCGTCGCCGGGAGCCCTGCCCCAATTGCATCGCGTATGGTGTTTGGGTTAAGGTTGATGGCCAGTGGAAGCGTGCTTAGAGGTGCTGTGAGTTCTGAATTCTTTTTTCGGCCTGTGCCCGTTGTTTCCAAGGCCGTTTGCTAACGGATACCTTCGATGATATAGAGACGCGAAGTCATCCCATCCGACCCGATTCTTTGCGATGTCCTTATGTGGTGCGATCGAGCTGGAGATGGGACCTGGTTTGGGAAGTGCCGGTAGAGTTGCTATGGACACCATTGTGATGAAGGGAGACTTACAAATGCTATGACTATGACCCTTGGGTGTCTTTGGAATCTGGTTATCTAAATATCTAGAGCGTGTCGAAACGGATATAGTGCGCTTCTGCTACAGAATAGATAAACCCCAGACGGTTCTACGTCAAAGCTGCTTCGTCCACTGTTAGTAGAGCAGGAAGTACACACCTTCCAGAGAACAGCTCCGGAGGTGGAATAATTTTCTCTCTCGGGTAACTCTACAAGAACTTATCCAAGCGAGACGAAACGGCAACTCGACCTCTCTAGCTGACCTCAGACCAAGATTCCATTGCGGGTCAGTGTCAGCTAGCCAATGGCTGTAAGTCGTTGTGCAGCAATATCTTCAATTGCCGGTGCGTCACCCAGGGCATGGCCTGAGAATCAGAGAACCGGGAACCTGTCCGGCTACAACAGGGGAGAACAGCAGATGGAAGGCCGATTGACAATTATTTTTGTTCAGCAAGAACGGAGGACTTGGGGTCATTGACTTGATGGAGATCCCGATTGAATCCCACGTCATGGGAGGCTTTAAAGAAGCTAAGCTATGGTATCTATATAGGCAAGAGGTAGTATTGCCAGCTGGATGAGATAGTAAGTAGCAAGGAAGAATATAGTGTTTGCCTGCTCCGGTGAAGTCTTACCTGTTTTCGGATTGTGTTCTCACTTGAGCGGATTTTCCAAACTGCAGGTGACCATTGCCCTTCTGTTGAAATTTATTTCTTTCTGCCTGAGCTCCTTCTGTCTTCCTCCCACAAACTCTCTCCAGTCAACCTCGCTTCCTCCGTTAAGCATCATCTCCCATCTTCACGAGCATCATTCCTTTTCCTCCTACCTCGTGGTTTGAATGTAAGTCGGACCAGCTTCACGCTTGCCCACGCCCGCCAAGCAGATTCCCAAGCTAACACAGAGGAACACAGTCCGCAGACCGACAAAATGTGCCAGGAACTCATCGCCCCAATAGAGTACATCTGCACCCACATCGTCGAGACCCTCACCCCCGTCGAGTTCAACGGCTGCAAGAACTGTGGTGTCGTCGTCAAGAAAAACTACATGGGAAAGACTCGCAAGCCTTCCCCTTGCCCCGACTGCATCGCCAACAAGCTCTAGGTCATGAAGGGTAGAAAATGGTCTCGTGCTTAAATTGCACCCGCAGTCCACTGTGAGTAACGACCATGGGCGAGAGGCTTGAGGATTCGCGTTGAAGAAGAGCAGAGGGAGCTAACTGTTCGCCATGCTTGCTTTCAGATTAGTCGAGATGCCGCCGAACGTTTTCCGCCTTCGCGTCCAGAGGACCAGGACTGCTTTTGGTTGGGCTCCGTTGAATAGCAATTGATAATGATCTGGGGTGATTGCGAGTGGTGCTTGGTTCAGTGGTCTTGGGGTTGGTTCTTGGGCGCTTGGTGGTGTTTACCTGCTTTCAGCTCTAGATCGCACTTTTTCAACGTACCTTGCGTCCTTTTTTGTCTTTTAATCCAGTCCTCGTAGAAACATCTTGCCAGAAATGAAGTGAATCACGGATTCAGGAGTTTATTCCCTCCACGTTGTAGTCTAAACAAACCGTAGACACTGAGTGTCAACAGTCCCCTTGGTGCCTTATGGTTCAGGCCGCAAAGGTCAGGCGAGGTGGACCAATCAGGTGCGCGCTGTTGTCTCTGGGCAGGTGTTACTCTCCAAGTCCCAACGCTCACATTGACTGAACTCTGTCAAGACCTGCCATTCATTTTCGATCCTGGCTTACCAGAAAGGAGAAGACAGCAAAGAGTGCAGCCCGGATCCCTGACACCTCCACATCGTCATGGATCTTCAGAAACAATTCCCGACGGTCCACTACATCTGGGGAGGAGCAATCTCGCATGTTTACGAAGTCCATCCTCTGATCGTCCTCAAGGTGCCGGGGACAGGTGATTACGACGTGGAACAGTTCAAAAACGAGCTCAAGATCTACGACATCCTCTCTCGCCACCCGCCTTGCCCGTTCATCGTTCAATGCTTCCACTGCGCTGAAAACGGGATCTTCCTCGAGTACATGAAGAGTAAGCACTCCTCCGGCAACAGACTGCTTCGAAGCTCTTGCTGCGGCCACACTAACACGGCTCGCAGATGAGGTCCTCGCCTTGCGAATCCAGAACAACCACACAAGAGACCACAAAACAATGGTCGTCACCGAAGTCAAGAAGCTTGAACCTCTCGGCCTCCGCCAGCAATGGATGACCGACCTCGCCGGAGCGACCGCATTCCTCGAGTCTCTGAACCTAGCGCATGGCGACCTCCGACCCGAAAATATCCTCCTCGACGGCGACAAGGTCAAGCTGTGCGATTTCGACTGGACGCGCGAGTTCGGGGAGGAGTACTGGACTTGCGAAGCGCCCTACGGCAGGTTCTTGAACAAGGGGGAGGAAGAGGCGGGTGAAGGGACTTGCGGGCATGGTGGCAACCTATGCGTGCGCACGGAACTTTTCGCCCTTGGCTCGCTTTACTACCTCATCAACTACGGCTTCGAGGTCTACGGGGATCGCTGTGTGTCTGAGGACCCCGAGGGGCGTGGGGCCGCCGTGGAATCGCTGCTGCAGAACATGCAGTTCCCCGAGCTGAACGGGGATCCTGTCATGGATGCCATTATTGACAAGTGTTGGCACAATAAGTATCCCACCATCGCGGACTTGGCTGCCGAGTTGGAGCGCCTTTTTGATGGGGAGGGTACTAAAGTCAGCACTGCCAGTGAAGAACACCATCGAGTTGAAGCTAGTGGGGATGGCGAAACCACCATCGATGCTGCTGTCGCCGAGGATACTGCGGGCAAGTCTTCTGAGGCTGGACCTTCTGAGGCCGGATCTAGTGAAGCGGGATCGACTGAGTCCGGAGCTTCAGAGGCTGGATCTACTGATACTGAGACAGAATTATCTGAGAATGCATCTCTTGAACATTGTCATCTGGACGAAGGTCATCTCAAGGAAAGCCATCTAGAGGAGGGTTTTCTCGAGAAAGGCGATGTTGACGAACATCACCTCGAAAAACGTCGTCGTCTCCAGGAAGGTCATCTCGAGCAAGATCATCTCGACAAAGGCCATCTCGAAGAAGTTCTTCTTGACCAAGACCCTCGTGAAAAAGAACCGCCCAAGAATGCACTTGCAGAAATAAAAACGCATGAGGAAGGACTGGTCAGCGCGGGAACCAATGCGCCCGAAGCAGCTTTGGGAGAAGAAACCGGCAAAAGCAACGCTGACGAAGGCGTTGAAGAAGACGAGGGATACGCCAGTACCTCTAGACCTCCCAGCATGGATGAAAGCGGAGCGCTAAAGGGGGATTTCTCTGCCTTGAAGGCCATTTGTCAGGACTTGGTGGCCCGCGGGCTTCTCGACGCTCTTTCGTCGGTGGAACCTAAGGACCTCGGATTCAGTGTTGAATGGTACAGATATCACAAGGGTTGAACCACACTCCCCAGTGCTCTTTGTCTGCCTAGAGCCAGCGTTCGCCTTAGAATTACTTCCTTCTATGACGTGGGAAATTAGTTGTTGTTTTGTCCTCAGATTTGTCCTCACTGGTACTAGATATTACATGCTCCTTCCATGTTGCTAGGAAATAATAAATGCACCACAGATGGAATCTTTCTCAGTAATTTTAATCAGTCTAACCAACCCTAAATAAACCAAGACACTAAGATGCCCGACAGTTTAATAGATCCAACAAATCAGCAAAGCACCTGGGCAAAGCAAAAGACCTCCCAAAGCTACCAACGGCCCCTGGTTCCCCTCGTCACAATTATCAAGCTCGGGCTGGCCAGCATAACCCACATAGCGAGCCTTAAAGTAGCACCCGCCCTTCCTACTCGCCTCGGTAAAGTTGCGTCCGCAGATGCTGCACTTGTTCCCCTGCTGGACGAGCTTCTGGCCTAGCTGCGCCCATCATGAACGGGATCCCAGACCCCGGGGGACTCTTCGGCAGATGAAGAGACACGAGGTGAAAGACTCCGTTCCTAGGAAGTGCTTTGTTGATATCACTGTTCCTGTTAGTACTGGGCATGGTTTGCCGGCTGGTGATGGTTGATGGTAGATGGTTGATCGTGTATTGAGAGGGAAGCTAATGCTTGATGGAGGGTGTAGTTGGTGGTGCTTTGGGGAATTTATATAGATAACTTCCTGGATGAAGGTCCCTGAGCGATACTGAGGTTAGGTTTGTGGACGCCTTTGGTGTCTTTCGATTGTTCCACTCTTCTTGCATGGTATTGATAGACATCTGCAGATGATGAGGGCTTTATCTCTGTACGATTTCACGCATGGCTTGGCCTGTCAGCGCATTGCGTCAACTTCCTAATGCTTTGACCCTCGGCGCGGATGGATGAGAAATCGTTTGGTCTGGAGAGAGAGGAGGGAAAACATCAGTGAGTGTCTACGTTGCTAAAAGCCAATGGGTCGAACCGAGAACTCGAATAACCAACCAAGTATTTACAGAGTCTAGCCCTGGAGCTTGACTCCTCTGGATTTTAGGCCTCTTTCCAATCCTCCCAGCGATTCTGTATTAGACTGCTGCAGGATATCAGTTGGTCGAACCAGTATTTCTCCACCGTCCTGGGCTATAGTCCATGACCGGGCGAATCCGAAGCCAACTGTTAATCTTGCTCAGGAGGAGCCAGGGTAAGGTCATAGTACCGCAGCTGAAGAAGGGCTTAGAGGTGCAGGTCACGCCGGCCGCGTCCCAGATAGATTAGCCTAGCCGTATGCTGGGTATAGGTCCGCTTCGATGCTCGCTAGATATAGATAGATTGTAAGAGGTCTCCATTTTAGAGGCAATTCCTATACTGCAGATGCCGTAGATACCGCTGTATCGCTCGGAGTTTGGTGCTTGCGCATGAATCTTCCGGATATAACGTCTGACCCATGTTTTATGCTTGAGGAGACTGAATGTAGATGGTGCGGCATGGCCGTTGAGACGACGAAACGTAGAAGGGTTTAAGTACCATACTCAACCGACAGTAAGAAATAAGGTTGGACGGCATGTTTGTGCAAGAATCGTACATTGAAGCGATATATATACATGCTTCGCAACTATACTCGTCAAGTCTAGCGCAGAAGTGCCACAGACAGACCTGGAAACCAAGTGATAGAACCGCTAAATGAATAAACGAAATCGGGGACTCAAGACGCCCATACGCCGGCAACGGTGCTTGGTCGTACGACATCTCAAGCCAGGATATTTTCATCGTCGCCAATATTGACATATTTCTTCAACTTGGGGAACATAGCCGCCCACTCCCGCGACACCTGCCAGTTCTCGTAGTCGTACAAGCCCTTCTCAAAAGCTTGGGTCGGCATCAGCTCCCCGTTGTCATTGGTGTAGATGAACTCCTGATCCCCCGGCCACTGGAAGTGTATGGAGCGCATGTACATAATCACCGAGTGCCGCGGGTCTTGTATTTGCTGCGCCTTGTGGATTAGGCGATCGCGGAGGCCAGGCCAAGGAAGGAAGTCGATGCAGACGGGGTGCGGGACGGTCTTTTGGATGTCGGTCGGGTATAGCCAGGTCGGGACGTCGCGCTGGGTTTCTTCGTCGGGGCAGAGGCGCCACTGGACGTTGTTAGCTGAGGGACGGGTGCTGCTACCGCGAGCGACTTACTCGTAAGAAACGATACATCACAACATAGCAAGCGAAAAGTGTGCGCACGTTCGCCGGCCGGACTTGGCTGAATACCAAGCCCAGGATCTGGATGACGGGGTTATCGGTCGATGTTGGTCGGAAGACATGGACGAGCGACGGGGTGCGAGGGAGCCGCGTGCTGTTGGAGATGCTCTTGTTGAGACCCTGGTGGGCGCGCAGCAGAATCGAGAAGGTCGAGTACTCGAGGCATTCGTAGTAGGAGCGGTGGTCGACTCCGCATCGGCAGTCGACAGGGACACTGTTATCGGGCTCGCCCAGTGCCGGCGCGTGTACGAGCATCGGGAGTTTATCGGCGGGGAGAAGGAGCATGTCGTGTGCGTTGGGGAGCGGGCGCGGCGGAGCGATCGAGGCCGTCGAGGTGCCCGCGGCAGGGACGGGACTCGGTGTTTCCGCCAGATCAAAACAAGCGAAATAGCGCGACTGGTCTCGCAGTCTCTCGTTGAGAACGCGAACCTGGTCGGTCAGCGACTGGACGGCTTGCTGCAGATTTGTGACCTGGGTCTCCAGGCTCTCCATCTGGCGCTTCTGCTGCTCGCGTTTTGCCTTGTGATTGATGCGGTCGGCCTGTCGCTTGCGCGCCAGCTGGGCTTCGGTGCGTCGACGCTTCTTGTGGGCGCCGTCGGAGGGCGTTGGAGGGGTGGAATGCTCGATCTCCATTTCGACTTGTTGATTTGATTCATTGATTTCCTTGAAAAGGAGAGTGAGCAAGATGGGAGGTGGGAGAGGAAGGCCGGGACCTGATCAGCAGCGCAACCCCGCATTCTGGCCGCCCACGGGGTTCAGCCACCACCTGATCCACCCTCCTCTCCCTTCACGAGGCGGCCCTGGATCCAGGCCGAGGGCTCCCTGCACCGTCGGAAGCAATGTCCTGGCGGTTTCTTCTTATATTGGCCTGTCTACATCTACATTAAACTCAGGAACCGTGTGGAATGGTCTGGTTGTTCCTTCTCGCGAGGTTTATTGAACAGTGTTATTCCGTACTAACTCGCCGTTCTCCAAGCCAGGTTTTCAACCTTTCTTCATCTGACGCAAAGTTCCCCTTCGTCAAGTCATTCAACGGCAACGATGTGAATTGTTTTGAATACCGATTAGCACTCCGGAGGGCCCCGTTGTGGTGATCTGCCTCCCGCTCGCTACACGCCGCGGAGACGAACCGAACCGTGTCAGTATGGATTTATTGTGGATACATCGCTGGTGGAGATTGTTGGTTGCATTCGGTGACACGCTGAGAAAGCTCTACAACCATTTTGCTATATCGAACCGAAGAGAAACTGCTCTGGTTGATTTCACGAGCCCACGGAATCGGGCCTTCCCAAATACGGCATACCCATTGCAGGAACTGGTTGTGCAGATTTCTTCTCTTCCATTTACCGCTCTCGAATACAGACAGAAGCAGGATTGACGGCTCAAAGTCTGCCGCGAAGCTTTGTATAGCGCCCGGTCAACAAAGCCTTGAAGCACGTGCCTCGGGTGACGGCAGCCTTCAGGTGGTCGACGTCGACCAGGCAAGTCTGAGACGCAGGGGTCGCAACCAATGAGGCAGCTGGCAACCTTTCGGCATTATTCAAGGTATACAGCTAGTCGACGCCCATTCAGCTAGTTCAGGGCGCTCCAGTTCTCTGATTTATAGCCCGCTTGAGAAATCATGGCGAGAAAGACCTTACGATCCCAGCGGGTACTAGAGAATTTCGACATCACTCGCACCAAGCGAAGATATCTTAGCGCTTCTTTCCTAACCTATCTCTCTGTTGGATGTTCTGCCCGAGAATCTGGATACCCCTGGCATCGCCGCATGACGACCCCCTGGCAAAGCACGGCAGAGACACTCCAACCCTGGAGTGTAACCCAGATGCACTCCAGCTATTCAAATCCGCCCGCAAACTGGCGGGGCACGAGCAAGGTCTGATCTCAGTACGGTATCACTCCGCGCAGTAGTTGCGCCGCCCCTCGGCGAACAATAGAGGGCGAACGAAGTAGCACAAACACCCTATTCCGCCCGGGCTTGATCTCCTGTCACCTGCGAAACATTCCCGCGGTCTAGGGGCAGCGTCGTCATACGAATCGGTGACTTCATTCTCTCGAAAAATCCCGACCTCTCGAAATCGAGTCCTCCGGTCTGAGCGGCAGAACGTACCGGTCGCATCAACGAGAACCGACACTCGCCGAAACACGCGACACTCAGGCTGTCGATAATAGTTGTTCTCCAGGTTACGCTGGGGACTGGTTACCGGAGGCAGCAAGCTCTGTCGTGAAGTCCGCGGAGTTCTGAAAGACGCCGAGCAAGTGCTATTTTGGTGCTGGAACGCTGCGGGCGCCGTGGTTTCCCCCGACCCAAAACGTGGGATTCTATTTCGATGATGTCGCCCTGCAACGTTGTGCAAAGTTAACTTTATCGCCAAAAGAAATGTTAGGTGGAGCGTACCGAGTTGCCGGGTTTGCATGCACCTGCATTATTGTCCGACTCCTTCTCCATCCCAGCAGTATGTCGTGATATCAAGCGCAGCAGGCTGGTGTTCAGTTTGAGGAGCCATCGCGCCTGTCTAGCGACGAAGATACTGCCTCTGTAACTCCTGAGTCCAGGACGTTTACTTTGTTCTCACATTCCAGAGAGGAACATGGCCGAGTCGAGGAATTCCGCCTTGAATCATCAACAAGGCTTACCCTGGCGCTGGCGACTTAGAGTTATGCCATGCCTTCAAGAACGATCTACGAAGCTTCCAAATCTCTATGACGCAGCGGCCGACGTCAAAACCGGAGCGTGGGGCTGGAAGGTTGGGGTCGCCCAGAGGTCGAAGGCCATCAACTTTGGTGCAGTGGCCCAGGATAACCCCGGGTTCGCTAACAACCTTTCTAACTGACATGTGACCGGTCACAATAATAAATCATTCCAAGACATAACGGGATTCGCAACATCCGTTAAGAAACCAGTTTTCTCCAGGGAGTCCTGCTTTGCTCCACCACTGGATGGGGATGCGGCCAAAAGTACAGTGGGCTTGAGGGGCGGGATGTAAGATCCAGGCACTCCCATTCGTCAGATACGACATCCAGACGCAAAAGTACGCGACATTCTCACTCTGTACTAAGTCGATGGATCGCAGCCCGCTGCATTTGGACAGCTGCACTGATCGTCGGCTCTGGATCAGCTTCATACATCATCATTGGTGGAGCCTGCTCCTACAGCTTCTTACCCTGAACGGCAAGTGGCGGCAAGTGGCGGCTTGATTCATCCTCTTCTCGGCGTCCGATGCCTTGAGTTTACAGTGGCTTGCTGAAACACGGTTTGGCTTTCTTGGAGCAATAGCTCGGCGGATCAGCCGTCCGAAGGGGGTGATTTGGTGAGACGGCCATGCATGTCATCCTGCATCAGCTTATCTTGCTGACCTTGTTCCCGTTTGGGATTTCCTTGTTGTGCAGCCGTTGACCGTAACACATTGCAATGCAATGTTATCGCTTGCAGGAAATGATAGCCAGGCCTCTGCTGCGCGAGAAATGCGATCTGGAACCATCCAAGCGCGGCGCACGAGAGGTTCAAAGGCTACCAGTGCACGAGGCAACGAGGCAACCACGTCCCCAGCCCAGTTCCAGCACTTTCCACTAATGCGCTTGGAGTACCGGGGTGGCCGAGTCCAGCGGCGCTTCTCTTCCCGCCACTGTGATTGATCAAGACATGGCACCCTCACTACGCCGGCACAGTGCAAGCGTCATCCTGACACTAAACTACCCACTGCCCTGGGCCTCAACTGCGATTCTGAAAGGAGCCAAGATCAGCTTCCCTTGAGGACCGTATGGCTAGTCGCGAGCTTCCCACGAAAACGTCAAGACCTTGGCTTGACCCTGCACGCAGTGTGGGTTTCCCCGCTTACTCGATCTCGTCGGGCACAGTATATAGCTCGATCGCGTGTCTACGGCACCTTTCGGCCTTTCTTGGATTCTTCATACTCGATTGCTGACCTAGCTCTACATTGGACTCAATACTAAGTACTTGCACTTCAATCAATTCAACTTCAATCTTTCATTATCTACCCCCTAATTGTTCTTCACACATCTTAGCGAGGTGTGCTTACTATCATATGACCGAGACGGGATCTCCATAACGCAATTCTTTGCCAGCCAACCGAGCAGGACCACGTTGGTAACAGCATAATGGCCAGCCAGACAACATTCTACCAGCCCGATCCCTCTCTGGATGCGTCGATCGCCCCAGAGTCGCTGTTCTTGGGCCAAGAGTTCTCTCCAGAATACCTCTCGCTCTCTTTACTGGAGAAAGACGACCAGCACCCAGAGATGCCTTTCGAGGCGTTCCAATACCAAGCACATCAGAACCAAATGCAGCCTATGCCGACTATCCCAGCTGAGAGCGACATGAACCGCCCTCGGCTCCGCAACCGCGCCCTCCGCCCAGCACCCCCGGACAGCCGCAGAGGCTCGGCCGACGACATGAACCAGCCTCCATTCTACTCCTACGGGTCCATCCCCAGCTATTCATCCTTTTCATCCAACAACTCCAACCCCCACGAGGCAGACCAGGACTTCCGCTTCTCCCCGCACTCGGACATGAGCAGCAACAAATCGACCTCCCCCCTCCGCTGGCAGACAGGCGACACCGAAAAACGCGCCAAACATCTCGAGCGCAACCGCGCGGCCGCCAGCAAGTCCCGTCAGAAGAAGAAGCGCGAAACGGACCAACTCCGCACGCGGTTCCAGGAGGCGTCCCGTCGCAAGTCGGGTCTCGAAATCGAAATTAAGGAGCTCCACAGCCAGCTGCTCTCGCTCAAGGACCAGATCCTCATGCACTCGCGGTGCGATGATGAGGCCATCCATATGTACCTGGGGCGGATGGTCAAGCAGGCGACCAAGTACGATTCCTTCTCGTCCGCTTCGAGCGGAGAGCCGGACTGCGATGACCGCGACCGGAAGCTCGAGCGTCGGCATGCCTCGGACTCTATCTCGCCTCGTCAGGCTGCGGTCAGTTTGCAGCACCCTCACCCACACGGTCGTCCCAACCAGTTTGAGTCGGACATTTCGAACGGGCAGCAGTTCCCGATGAGGATGGGGGATGGGGGATTGCCCTGCGGCGTGGAGAAGCCGATGATGAACCAGATGTTCAACCAACACGATCAAAATATCTTCGATCTGCAGATTAGCATCTCGTGATATGAACCTGTTCATTGCGCATCCGTTTTTACTACCTGCGCCTTTTCTTTCTTTATCTTCAGCATACCCAGTACGATCTGTACGAACGGTCCCGGCGCACACGGATGGGGGTGGATATCTCTTTTGGTTTTTGAAAAGCGTTACGTTACGGTCTACTGACGGCCTTTTTCATTCTTCATACCAGTTAAAGTCAATAAAATGCGTAGATATCTTGATAGATGCTGTATTATATATGTCGGTAGTCGTGATCCATTACATATGCCTGTTCTTTGTTCTGTGTCTCCCGTCCTCTAGCCTGGGCGCCTGCTGTGTAACTGTGTAATATAGGCTCAACCCAATAGAAAACCCGCAACATCCCACAAAACTCAAACGCGATTATCAGATCCCGCCAGGCCAGCATGCAAAAGCACCAGTCTCGAGACCAAACCCCGAGTCCCCGGTCTAGCCCTGCTTCTTCACCCTGTCCTCCCAGCCCCCTCACCGACAATCCCGCAGCCCTACTCTATACAATATACAAACTACCGTACTTATCAATCACCTCCATCTGCACCAGTCACAACCACCGCCTCCCCACCAACCCAATCTCCCGGCCGAGGCTGTGCGTAGCCCCCCTATCCCTCCTCCCTCTCCCTCTCACCAAATGCCTCCACCTGCAGTCCTGCACCGATACGGACTCCACCCCTTCCTCTCCCTTGCTTCGATTGGGTACTCGTTTTATACCCTCCCCAACCCGGATCGTACTGCGCATAACCTTACATTGAACCTCCCCCGAACTTGCCTTTCGTCTGCCCACTGACATGTGTTGAAAATGCGGATGCGGGTGCGGATGCGGATCCGGCATCGCGCCTTCTAGAAATACATAACCCCGACGCTTTGTTTCCAAGGTTGTCGCGCCTCAACGGAGGGTCCTCCCGACTCAGCTGGGAGTTTCGGGATCAGAATCACGCACACGTACAGGGGCGACATCCATGGATGTCCGTGTAGATGCATCGCGATGCACTCTCCACGTCCCGCCGCCTCCCTGGGTCCATTTGACGACGCGGGGGATTCAAGATTCGCGTATATTGTATATTGGCTCGTCGGCGCGTCGGCCGTAGAGTTCGGGTTCGGGTTTGGGTTTGGGTTTCACTGTGAGTAGTGCGATGCGCTGCGCTGGCTTTGGATGAGATGAGATGAGATGAGACTCCGGGATAGGTAGGTAGGGGACCCGGGGCTAGAGCGGAATGCATCCCATGCGCGGCTGTATGGAATCGTCAATGGCACGAACGCCTCTTCTCCAACGCCTTTTCTGCGCCCTTGGACGATACGCTTTGCTTGCTTGCCGGGGCGTGAGCGGAAGGGGTTCCGGACGTTTGAGACTTGCAGGGGCGCATTGGCACCCTCCATTCGCTGGTGACTGTTGGGCGAGATGGGGACTGCGGTTGGTTTATGGTGGGTTGTCGGGAGGGACAAGTAGGAGCCGTAGGTCTTGTAGAGCCGTATTTTTCTCGCCTGGCTTTCGGCGGTGGATTGGCTTTGGCTGCGGGAGGGGATGTCGTGAGCTGGATGTGGGTGGGTGTGGAGGGGTGGATTACTGCAGCCAGCTCTAGATTCGCAGGGGTGTTTTGTCTTTGGCGCAGAGGGGGTTGGGAGGGGCGATGAACTCGCGGTAGCGTTTATTTATCGAGCTGATGAGAGCCCTGGAGGACTCCGGGGTTCAGGGCGTCGGGGAGTTTGACGGGGCCGAATGAGTAGAGGAAGGGGGTTAGTTATTGCAGGGCGAGGGCCATGTTCCTGGTTTGCTGCTCTGTCCTGTCTTGTCCTGTCTTGTCTTGTTTTGTCTCCTGCTTTGGAGCATTGGAGAGGAGGACGGGTGTGTAGTGTAGCAAGTGGTGTCTTGATCATAAGGTAGTGTTCTTTTATGGTAGACGCTGATCTGTACCTGTGGTGTTGAGAGGCATCCTTGGGCTTTCGCTCCTATTGCACTCTTCTTGACGTCAACTCGGTAACCCCTCTCTCATCCCAAGTTTCTGCTACACTCCCTGCCAGGATGTGAATCTGATGGTGCTATGAGAGATACTGGGTGCTCCAGGCCATCCGATCTTCGACCGATCTATACGGAGTATGGCAGATCCAGACCCGTCCTATCCTATGCCAGAATCATTCCACAGATAAAAAAAAAAAAAAAATAGATCATGCACCCAGTGCCTTCTTTCATTCCCAATCTCAAACAACAATACAATACAGAGTCTAATTCTGCGGCCTCTGCGGCGAAACCGTCCCCTTAAACTTGGCCGTCTCCGTCTCCCCCTCGCCCGTGATACTCTTGCCGGGCTCGTTGACGTACGGGTTGCTCGTGTCCGCGTTGCTCAGGCCCTCCTGCTTGCTGCTCATGCTGCCCTCGCCTGCGGGCGCCTTGCGGGTCGCGGGCTTGTCCTTCTCCGAGGGTGTTGGGTGCGTGTCGCCGCGGCCCATGAACAGGTAGAATGCGGCTGGGATGCCGAGGGCGGCGCCGATTATCATGCTGGGCATGACTTGTTAGTGGGGGGGTTGGAGGAAAGGTAAGAAGGGGAGGGGAGGGGTACATTGTGTTGTTGCCGCCGCCGCCGCTTGGTGGTGCGGAGGGGTCGGAGGCGTATGTGCGGCGGGTGATCTTGGGGCGGGGGGTGGTGAGGGCTTGGCCCCGAGGGAGGCGGAGGGCGCGTGGGAAGGGCATCTTGGTGGTATTGTTTGGGATAGATGATTGATCGATTGAATGGAGGTATTTTGCAATTTGGGGAGAGAGGAGGTATATACAGCTGGGATGGCATGACCGGCAATGATGTAATGTGAAGCTGTCATGATGTAGTCGGGATTCTCCACTGTCAGGAAAGCTACTCTGGGAATTCATCATTTAGCTATCATTATCTATAGATTACTCCTGCGGCATCTCGGCCAGCTTCTCCTTGGCCTGCTTTTTCCCCTGCTTCGAGATCGAGTCGTTGCTCATCGCGCTGAGGCAAGGCATGTCAGATCAGCTAAACAGGAGTGAGCAAAGAACGTACGCCTTGTAACCGCCCGCCACTCGGTTGGGGGACTTGTCGCGAGCGCCCTGGGCTGTCAGAATCTCCTCGTGAGGCTGGTCGCCGCCGAGCTCGTTGTCGAGGACGTCCTGGGCGTGCTGCTTGGCTTCGTCGGAGACGCGGGGGTTGTTGAGGGTGCTGGCCCATTAGAAGTGTTCTTAAACAAGAAGGGCAGCATACGCCTTGTAGCCTCGCATCTGGTTGACTTTCTCGTCGGCCATTTCTCTAGATTGCTAAATCAAGAATCGGATATAGCAAATCGTCTGTCGGAGTGTCTGTTCTTCCTAAATCGTCTTCTTCCCCGTTAAGCTGCAGCAATATATACAATCGCCCGCCGGTTACTGTCCGCTTGGGCATTCCACGTCGGGTTGCAGTCAGCTTCACGTCAGTCCCATCCATGCTTTCTTCTCCTCCCCAGACTGTCTGATCTGGAGACTCGAAGGGTTGAGTGGTGACGTCATCCCCGCATCATCTCCGCATGCACTCATTCACCATTTCAACACAACAGACAGCCGGAATCTTCGAGATAGCAAGGATAATCCCTTCTGAAGCCTTGTATAAAGCCTGATATCAGCTGAGACACGCGTCCAGCGCCTGCAGCGCAAGTGGCGTAAGCCCACTGCCAGAAACGACCAGGGTCCAACGATGACGGGACTGGAGTAACACTTGGACCTGGAGACGACTTTAATTCATTTCATTTCATCTCGTATCCAAATCTGATAGCCTGTCATTGAACTCAATCTCGTAACTCTACCCCAACAACTCACCAAGTCAAATACAACTCAACAGCAGAATCAACATGTCCGACAAGAAGCGCGGCCTCATCATCGTCTCGAACCGGCTGCCTCTCTCGCTCAAGAAAGTCGACGGCAAGTACGAGTCCTCGCTCTCCAGCGGCGGCCTCGTCACCGCGCTCTCCGGCGTCAGCAAGTCCACCAACGTCCGCTGGTTCGGCTGGCCGGGCTCCAACATTGAAGACCCGGACGAGCGCAAGATCGCCAACGACGCGCTGTGGGAGAACGGCGCGGTGGGCATCTTCCTGGACGAGGAGCTCGCGCATAGCCACTACAACGTTTTCTCCAGTACGCCCCCGTCTTCATCTCACTTTCTTTCTTTTGCTAATCCAGACAGACGGCATCGCCTGGCCAATCCTGCACTACCAAAGCGGCGTCGACTTCAACGAAGACGCCTGGAAAGCCTACCAAAAGGTCAACGAGATCTTCGCCGACACCGTCGCGCAGTCCGCCGCCGACGGCGACCTCATCTGGATCCACGACTACCACCTCCTTTTATTGCCTGCATACCTCCGCGACCGCCTCACCAAGGCAGGCAAGCACTGCCCCATCGGCTTCACCCTGCACACCCCCTTCCCCGCCGAGGACTTCTGGCGCGCGCTCCCGGTCCAGAAAGAGCTGCTCTCCGGCGTCCTGGCCTGCGATCTGATAGGCTTCCACACGGACGAATACAAGCGGAACTTCATCGAGTGCTGTGCGCGCGGGCTGGACGTGTCCGTTTCGCACGATGGCGGCGACATAACCTACGGCGGACACACAGCACACACAGGGACCTTCATCGTGGGCATCGATCCGACAAAGTTCACATCCGCGCTCTCCAACCCCGACGTGCAATCCCGGATCGGCGAACTAGAAGAAGAATACAAGCGCAAGCTGGTCATCCTGGGCGTCGACCGCCTCGACTACACCAAAGGCCTGGTGCAGAAACTCCATGGCTACGACGCCTTCCTGCACCAGCACCCGGATCTCGCGAAAAAGACGACCCTCATCCAAGTCGCGATCCCCTCGCGCGAAGACGTAAAAGAGTACCAGGACCTCGAGCGCGAGATCTCCATGCTCGTTGGCAAGATCAGCGGGACACACAGCACGCCCGATGGAAGCCCGATCGTGTACATGCACCATTCTGTGCCGTTCACTGATTTGACGGCGCTGTATCGCATCGCCGATATGTGTCTTATTACCAGCCGGCGCGATGGGATGAATCTTGTTGCGGCGGAGTATGTTGCGTGTCAGGGGGGGCGGTTTGGGGTGTTGGTGCTTTCGGAGTTGGCGGGCGCTGCGGCGTTTATGAGTCAGGGCTCTGTGACGTTTAATCCGAGTAGTGTGCAGCAGATGGCTGATGCGATTTACAAGGCGGCGACGATGGGGGAGGGGGAGAGGAGGGCGGGGTTTGAGACGCTTGGGGAGTTTGTGCGGACGAATACGAGGTATGTTTGGCTGTTTTCTGGTGGGAGTGTATACTGACGGTGTCTGCAGTGAGAAATGGGGGGAGACGTTTACGAAGGTTCTGGCGGGGTTTGCAGGGTCCTAGAGTCGTTGGCTTGATCCAGCACTTGCCTTTTCCGTTCTTGCCTTCTTGCTTTTGCTTCTACAGGCGGGCCCTCTATTCAGTTCTATTCGATTCATTCGGCTTGATTCAGCGCCCTCTCTTTCTACTCCATTCTTTACTTCTCCACTCTTCGGTTCTATACTTACAGGCCCGCCCTCTACCTCTAATCAGTTCAATTCCATTCCATCCAATTCGAGATTCGCATTCTGTACCGTATCCATTAATATCTTGCTCAGCACCACACCACGACACCTGCACTAGGGCTCCAGCTCAAGCCTACTGCTCCCCTTCCAGTCCTGCCACCCTATCTTCAACGCCAGCCACCAATCGTCTATTCTATACAGCCAACTCCCCAATCACTTATCTCCAACGCCATCTCCCCACCCACCAATCACCCATTTCCACCCCCCAATCTCCCCCATCCTAGAACGCAGTGACGTGACCAGTCCCACGCACACCCACCAATCACGCCCGGCGGAGCGAATGTCCGGTACCCTGCCGCCCGCAAATGCCGCAATGGGGTATGATAGGTAGAACAGCAATGGCGCAAGCCACAGCTGCTAATGACGTCGGGTATTACGCCGCGCTAGGTCGAGTACACTTCAACCCCCGGCCCCGCGAGGCTTATCAGATTCGGGATTCAGCAGGTGCCAGGCGGGGCATGCAGGGAACCTTAAGCGCGGAGAACGGGAAGCTTCTGCTGTGTGACGCCGGGGATGGACGAGACGAGGCTGGGATCGGGCTGGGGAGAGCTGTTTCCGGATGGGGATAATGCTAGTATATGAGTCGGCATATGCTGCAGGTGACAGGGTACGGTATCTGGATTCTCTGGTGGTTAGGTAAGGTACTAGGGCGAATATGGGAGAATGCCTGGTTAGGTTTAGTAGACCCAACGGAAGAGAGACTTGTGAATCTTCCAGGGCCGTCCTAGGTACGGTCCTTCGCGAATTAGATAGCCCTAAGTACAAACCAACATGTGTCGCGCTGCTCGCGCATGAAGATGATGCTGGATTATTGTGATGAAACTTGGTTCCCCTGTTCTTCTTTGCTGACCATACAGTATACAAATACCTTGTTGGTTTGCCTTGGCCCTTTGCTTGCTTCCTTCCCTTGGAATAGCAAACAAACATTCCAATAATTAACGGTCACGCAGGACGCTGAGTGTCGTTGAATTTGATAAATATTTTACAATATCTGCGCAGTGTAGCTTCACGACAGCCCATTGTCCAACTCCACACCTGCAGCTCGCAGCAAACGGACGGCAACTGACAGAGTGGGCACGGCCCGCTTCCAAGGTCCTGGACATCCGAGCCGGAATACTATACGTATGGACCCCACGGAGTAGATGCGGCTTAGAAATAATGGAGCTTCTAGACTTCCACCAGTCCGGGTTAAGGCAATGCATGTCATTCTATGCCATCCCGCGCGAGGGCAGTCTACCTAGGTCCTACGGACTAATATGGATGCATACGAAAGCGCATTACGCAGATAGAGAAGCTTCATGGACAGTACCAAGCGCATATTCATATTCGTGCTTTCCGGAATCAGAATACCCTATCCTATCCTACCCATACAAAAGCAATTCGTAATACATAGACCGAAACAAACTCAAAGCCCTAACCTAACCAAACCCCAGAGCCCATACCATGGATCCTACCATTACCTTAATACTTAAGGCCCAGGCCCATTACTTCGTACTAGGATTCGGCATCCCACTCGTCCCCGGCCACGACCTAAACAAATCCGAAAGATGGTCCAGCGGCGCCGCCATCAGCCCCGCGACCGTCTCGAAGGGCGGCTTGTCCGGTGCAGACGGGTGGCTGCGACTCGGGACAAACATCTTCGTGCGCCCGAAGCTCTTGGACAGCTTCTCGGACTCGGCGGCGGAAATGGCGTCCTCGAGTTTCGGGAGATCCTGGCTCTCTTCTTCCTTGATGTGCTGGGATAGATCGGCCATGAGGGACTTGAGGGTTGATTCGAAGGCGGGGTCGGCGGGTTTCATGTTTTGGAATTTTTTGAGTTTTTCCTTCACCTGCACGTTCATTAGTACCGTTATTTAAGTGGGGGAGTGTGTGGAAGTGCCCACCGTGTTATGCTCGTGGCGGTCCTTGTCGGCCATGGCTTTGCCGTCGGGCAGGTTCTTCTCGAAGACCGGGTAGACGACCAGCTCCTCGCCGATGGAGTGGCGGGCGAGTTCCCAGGTGAACTGGTTCTGCCACTGGGTCTTCTCCTTGTCGGTTGTTGCGGCGAGGATCTTGTTGTAGTAGTCCTCGATCTCGCGGTGGTCTTCCTTGATGGCGTCGATGATGCGCGGGGCCATTGCGATGGGTGATTGGGAGATGGGTCTGGTTTGGGTTTGGAGGGACCTGTATTTGGGTATAGTGGTAGTAAACTGTCTGAGAGAGCGAGCTGGATTCAGGGTGATGAGCCTGGACATTTTGGAAGACGGAATAGAGTCTAGATATTTATGCTTGCGGTGGTCGCACAGGTTCTCTTCGGGTTACGATCACACGACTTCTTCTTCTTTATGGAGGGTTGATCGGCGGACGTCATGATTGTGTCTGTCTGATGCGATTTGGTTTTGGCTGGATGAAGCCTGGTTATGATCGCGAGAGCAGGTCTAGAGTTTGTATGGCGGTGGTGGTGGTGGTGGTGCCGGAAGGAATGCCGGCCAGTCATCGGGCACTTTTTAATCAGCGTCATCGTCACGAACAGGCCGAATGCGGAGACCAATGAGAGAAAGAGCATTACAAGCATGATCGACAACGGCCGCTGGTGTTCCAATGGGACGGGATCGGCGGTCTAGATTGACAGCTTTGAAATCGAGTTAATCGCGTTGCTTTTCATCATTCTGTCATCATGGCCGAACGCGCATGATGTCACGACCTGCCAGCCTGCAATCCTGCAGCAGCAGGTTATAACGGATATAACCACCATGGCGAATCAACCTTATTTCTCAACCAGACTTTCTTGTCTTTGTTTCAGTTTCCCTCGATCAGCATGGCAACGCAACTCGCCGCCGGCCTGCAAAAGGCCCAGCAAGCAGTGCAGGACACTGCCACCAAGAACAAGAAGGCCGTCGACATCGCCCAGGATACCGTCGACGTGCACAGCGGCCAGGAACAGCGGACTGACTTTGGTGTTGCCATCAGCGACCCAGAGCACTGGCTTCGCGTGACCAACGAGACGCACTCCGGCCCGTCGCTGTTGGAGGACCACATTGCGCGAGAGCGCATCCATCGCTTCGACCATGAGCGCATTCCCGAGCGTGTGGTGCACGCCCGGGGAACTGGTGCGTACGGTAACTTTACCCTCAAGGAGAGCATCGAGGACTTGACGTATGCGCCTGTTCTCACGGACACCTCGCGCAACACCCCGGTTTTCGTCCGCTTCTCCACGGTCCAAGGGAGCAGGGGAAGCGCCGATACTGTTCGTGATGTCCGCGGTTTCGCCGTCAAAATGTACACCGACGAGGGGAACTGGGATATCGTTGGAAACAACATTCCCGTCTTCTTCATCCAGGATGCCATCAAGTTTCCTGATATGGGTGAGTCATTCGAACAGCATTAGAAATGGATTATACTAACTGGCACAGTTCACGCCGTCAAGCCGGAACCTCACAACGAGGTCCCCCAGGCTCAAACCGCCCACAACAACTTCTGGGACTTTGTCTACCTGCACCCCGAAGCCACCCACATGTTCATGTGGGCCATGTCCGACCGCGCCATCCCCCGCTCCTACCGCATGATGCAGGGCTTCGGTGTCAACACTTTCTCTCTGATCAACAAGGAGGGCAAGCGCCACTTCGTCAAGTTCCACTGGATCCCCCACCTCGGCGTGCACTCGTTCGTCTGGGACGAGGCCCTCAAGCTCGCCGGGCAGGACCCAGACTTCCACCGCAAAGATCTGATGGAGGCTATCGACAACAAGGCCTACCCCAAGTGGGACTTTGCCATCCAAGCCATCCCTGAAGAAGAGCAGGACAACTTCGAGTTCGACATCTTCGACGCCACCAAGGTCTGGCCCGAGGAGCTCGTCCCCCTGCGCGTCATCGGCGAGCTCGAGCTGAACCGCAACATCGAAGAGTTCTTCCCCGAGACCGAGCAGGTCGCCTTCTGCACCTCCCACATCGTCCCCGGCATCGACTTCTCCGACGACCCCCTCCTCCAGGGCCGCAACTTTTCCTACCAGGACACCCAGATCTCCCGCCTCGGCGTCAACTGGGAGGAACTCCCCATCAACCGCCCCGTCTGCCCCTTCCTCAACCACAACCGCGACGGCGCCATGCGCCACCGCATCACGAAAGGCAGCGTCAACTACTGGCCCAACCGCTACGAAGCCAACCCCCCAGCAAGCGACAAGGGCTTCAAGTCGCACCCGGCCCCGATAACCGGGCGCAAGCGCCGCGACCTGACCCCCAAGTTCAAAGAACACCACAACCAAGCCCAGCTCTTCTACAACTCGCTGTCCGAAGTCGAGAAGAACCACGTCAAGAAAGCCTTCGGCTTCGAGCTCGACCACTGCGACGACCCAATCGTCTACGAGCGCCTAGCAGGCACCCGCCTCGCCGAAATCGACCTCCCCCTCGCGCAACAGGTCGCCGAGATCGTGGGCGCCCCTATCCCAACCAAAGCCCTGCGTCCGAACCACGGCAAGACCTCCGTCCGCCTGTCGCAGTTCGATTTCCCGCCCAAGGTTCCGGGGATCATGTCCCGCCGCATCGCGATCATCATCGGCGACGGCTACGACAAGATCGCCTTCCAGGGCATGAAAGCCGCGATTCTCGCGGCGCAGGCCCTCCCCTTCGTCATCGGCACCAAGCGCTCGCCCATCTACGCTGATGGCGAGGATAAGAATAGTTCCAAGGGCGTGATCGCAGACCACCAATACGACGGGCAGCGGTCCACCATGTTCGACGCGACTTTCATCCCCGGCGGATCGCACATCAAGACGCTGCAAAAGAACGGACAGATCCGGTACTGGATCGCCGAGACTTTCGGGCACCTTAAGGCGCTTGGGGCGATGGGTGAAGCCGCGCAGCTGGTCAAGGAGGTTCTGGGCAATGTTATTGGTGTTGAGGTTGCTGGTGCGGACTCCAAGGAGCCGGTTGAGTGGTATGGTGTTGTTACGGCGAGGGGACCCGAGAGCGCGGAGAGTATCAGTGAGGGATTCAAGATCCTTAAGGACGCCGGCGACTTCACGGGCAAGTTCTTCTACCAGGTTAGCCAGCATCGGAACTGGAAGCGGGAGCTTGATGGGTTGGCTTCGACGGTTGCGTTTTAGATGGCGTGTGTGGTTGCACTATTGTACTGTACTTTTATTCCCGGCTAGGCGTTGGTTTGTGTTGTATTTGGGTACCCTGTATGTGACGGCAGTATATCGCTGAATTCAGTATATGATCATTTCTCACTTTGTGTGTTCCTCCCCGGTTGAGCTGGGAATAATCCCAACGTTTTGGCGTCGCTCGGTAGTCGCTCCTCGTGGCTGTAACTCGGAAAGAAACGCCTTCAATTCCAGCCATCATCAAGTAAAGCCCTCGCTGCGCGGCATAAGAATCGCACTTGGAAGATGATTGCTCCAGCCAATATGTCTAGCAGGAGGAATAAACGACACGTTGCCGGGGGGAGGTCTCGACGAAACTCCCGCAATGGGTTTCAGGAGACAATGAGCCGGATATCAATATCAATCGCACCTCTCACTACTGCTCGCACAGGGGATTGGCTGTGAGGCTTAGGCGCTGTTGAGGTTTTCGCGTCGGGTCTCTGTGGTCATGGGGGATTTGGGGAAGGATATGTTGATTGGCGACTATTCCTTGTGAGTCCATAGAGAGGTACTATTTGCATGAACGGGTCAGTCTTTCATTATTGCTTCTCACCTCGCAGGTTTCGAACTCCGTGTTGGAGCAGGCAGATGGTATATATTTTGGACAGGTAGTGATGCACGATTCGGCGTTGGCTGATATTGCGATGATGAATTTATCTTCTTGCGCTCATTTCTGCATTAAAGTAGAATGGCCACCGCTCTCAGTAGCTTGCTTGAGACTCCAGGGCTGTTGATGCGCTAGTCAATCGACTTGATGATGTTGGTGTTGGCCAGCTGAGCTGGAGATCTCCGAATCCCAGGCCCGCTTATCTCCGTCTCCAACTCTTATCCGATAAGCCACTGATAAGAGGTGATAAGCCGCTGATAAGGCCTCCATATGTAACCAACCCCGCACGTTGGACAGCCTTACATCCTCCCTTGTCCTACCTACCTTTAATTCACTCTCGTTATCCTTTCATCATCCGCTTGACGACGGTTAGACCTGCTTGATACCACCCGCAATGTCCGACCTCAACCCCCTCCTGACCCTGCAAGCCGTCCGCTCGCGAGCCCACCTCGTCCTCGACCTCGCGAAGCAGAACGCCCTGAACCACTTCGATTACCATCCCGAAAGGCTCGATGAAACGGTGGAATATGTTATTGGGATTATCCAGGTACGTAGGCTTTATCAACATCGACCCCCTTCAACGTTATCTTGTTAACTTACCTTGTGTCACAGAGAGACTTCGGCCCAGACCGCTACGACACGATCCCGCCCCACGGCCGGTGGCAGCACTTCGAGGTCGGCTCGGTCCCGCGAATCGATAAGTTACTAAAGCAATGGGGCGAGCGCGGATACGACGCGAAAGAGAAAGTGCGGAGTCTGCTCGATCTGTTCTTTGTTTCGGTGCTGCTGGATGCGGGGGCGGGGGATTTGTGGACGTTCACCGAGCCTGGGACTGGGAATGTTTATAATAGGAGTGAGGGGATTGCGGTTGCGAGTCTCTATATGTTTTTGGGTGGGGAGTTTGCGGGGGAGATTGGGACTGACGGAGACGGGAGGAAGGATATCGTTACTGGTGAGTGCTTGAGTGGTCTGCATAGAGAGAAGCGGGACCATACTGACTGTATCCAGGTGAGGGGTTGAAAAGTTTCAGTGTTGAGGCGCTATACCGCGGGTTCCAGATCAACGACGAGACGAACCCGCTTGTCGGTGCGGCGGCGAGAGTCGAGATACTCCAGAGACTGGGCGCGTCGTTGTTGGAGAATAAGGAGATCTTCGGCGAGGCGGGAAGGCCCGGTGGGCTTGTTGGTATGTGATCCAATTCCACCCACAGCTGCTTTTGAAGTTGAATAGATGAATGCTAATACGTCCAGACCACCTCACCCGCAACGGAACCGACAACCTCGATTACGCCGAGCTCTGGAGCACACTGCAAACCCTCCTCATCCCAATCTGGCCGTCAGATCGAACAAAAGTAGCCGGGAAGCCTATCGGCGATGCCTGGCCGTTGTCAGCACTCCGTAAGCACGAGTCGACAGCAAACCTCGACCCCGCAACAGCCACAATCGCGCCCTTCCACAAGCTCACCCAGTGGCTCGCATACTCGCTTAAAGTCCCCTTCGAGCGGCTTCTTGGCACGGCATGGACGAATGCGGAACTGGGCACCGGTCTGCCGGAGTACCGCAACGGCGGGCTCTTTGTCGATATGGGTGTGCTCTCACTAAAGCCAGGAGCACTGGAACGTGGTCTCAGAACCTCCGGCGGTCCATTACCCTGCTTTGGTGCAGGTGATGATGAGATTGTTGAGTGGAGGGCGATGACGGTCGCGCTGTTGGACGTTCTGCACCAGCGCATTAACGAGAGTGGACGTTTCGGCGATGTGAAGCTATCACTGCCGCAGGTTTTGGAAGCTGGATCGTGGAAAGCCGGGAGGGAGACTGCGGCACAGAAGCGACCGGAGACAAGGTCGAGTCCGATTCTGAATTCGGGGGATGGGACGTTGTTTTAGATGTAGTTAGTATGATGGACTGTTATCTCTGTGGAGTGTAGATATAGCTCAGTAGTGGGCCTTTGGTGGAGCTGAAGATCATGCACGATGAGGAAATATCGAGTCGGTATGGTATCTTAGAGCGTGAGGCGAGCGAAGTTGGGCATCGTCTCTTACGATAAGGCCGGAAGGGGCATTAGCTTTTTGTCTGTTATACGGAGAGTTGGAGACTGGAATTAAACTATAAACATTTTTCTGTTTATGTACTGCTATTTTTAGTAGGGAAGTTAAGGGCTCATAACTTTTGGATAAAAAGCAAACGCTTATTTACTTAAAACCTATATAATATGTTTGACAACCACCCTGGTATCTCGGTAACAGAACAATAGCGGTGTAGACCGCATCATCCCCGCGAGCGTTGGAGATACTCCAAGTCCCCTGAAGACCAGTATACCAAAGTAAGCATGGTTCTGTTGGTCTATCTCTCTGTGTATCACTGTATTCTGCGTACGGATAACAGATCATTGAATAAAAACTGCCCGATCAGCTGATCGAGACGATCTCCTCCCACTATTTCCGGGGCTACTGCACGCGATTGCGGGGACACATGTGGAGGAATTCTTCGGGATAAATTCCCACTGGCGACCCAGTGTGTGTACGGAGTATAGAGTGTATCAAGTGTGGTAAGTTGATACGAGGTTCTCTACCCGATCCGGGATTTGTGGTCGTACCTTCCTTAGGTCGTCTGCCTACTTCATTAGAGTGAGGTAGACTTCATTCAGAGTAATATACCAGGCTATTCCTCTCCATTGGATCGCCTAAGCTTGCTTGACCCAAGTCTTGTCGTCATCAAGGATGCTGATTCAGAGAATCAACAATTCGAGCCGTGAGCTGTGATTGGTGGAGCGAGTCTCCGGGCCAACCGGAGCAAACGCGCACAAAGCTCGGCCTGCCAGTGGGACTCTCGATCTCGCTCGCATGTCCCTCTGCTCTCGCCGATTGGCCTGATCGCCCTTGTCAAGCTTCACTTGAGGTGTTCGGCCTTTGTCTCGGATCCTCCCAGGCGGCTGGGCCCCTTCCATCGACCATGGACCGACGCCCCAGCTGGAGATAAATAAGCCTGCTCCTGCTGGGAACTCTTTTCCGGGACGCGATCTGGCGCCGGATCCCTCGCGTTGAGCCTCGTGCCAAACAAACATCCCCCTAGCTCGATCCTCCTGCAAGCACCGTAGCCACAGCCTCCCATGTCAAACTCACAGTCCCCCGCTTCCCTTATAGGCCCGGACGGAAATGCCGCAACGGAGCGGAATCCAGCGCGCAAACACAAGACAACCGCCTGCCAGGAATGCAAGAAGAAGAAACTCAAGGTGAGTCGCCCTTGAACGCAATTCGCTGGTAAGCGTGCTGACCCCGCGGGGTATCAGTGCCGGGGCGACCCGCCGTGCCAGAACTGCGTCGCAAACAACATCCAATGTCTCGTGAACGAACAGGCCGACCAGCGCCGAAAGCTGCCACAGAAACGTAAGCTCGAGAGCCTGGAGCAGTCGAATGATGTCCTGCTTCGCTTGCTCAGAGCGATCCGCGACAGCGAGAACAAGAAAGTCGCCCAGCTCATGAATCTCATCCGCAGTAATCCGGCCGTGTCGGAGCTGCAGGAATTTCTTGCGACGAACTTTTCACGGTCGGAAATTGAGAAGACCCCCGAGCTGCAAGAGGTACATCAACACGTCCTGCGCGAAGAAAGTGTTATTCTTGAAGAAAATGCCATTCTAGAAGAAACCGCGCCGCCCCGGCCACGACGGATGCTGGACATCCGCCGCCTGGCCGATAACCCGGTGTATCGGGTGCCTGCGAAACCGTGGACCACTGTCACCGATGACGATGATCTTGTCTCGCACCTTGTTTCGCTGTATTTTACGTGGACTAACCCGGTAATGTGCTGGGTCGACAAGGATGTGTTTATTAAGGAGATGCAAAATGGGGACCCCCGCAGCCGGTACTGCACGCCGTTCCTGGTGAACGCGATCCTCTCTGTTGCTAGTGTATGTTGAGTGACTGGTAAATGTCCATCTACCTTTTGTCCAGAGGTTTCTAACTTATCTCGATCAGTACCATTCCGATTATCCTGAAGTTTTTACAGTTCCAAACGATATAATGACCAAGGGGGAGCAGTTTTATGATGAAGCGCGCCGGCTTCTGGAGGAAGAGGAGCGGGAGGCTACCGTCAGTATTCCAACGATTCAGGGACTTACAACTTTGTGGTTGAGGTTGGTTATCAAGAGGTTCCTCTTTGTACCGAACAGCGGATTGCTAATCATATCAGATTGGTCTTGGGGGGCAAGGATCGTCTCGGTTGGATGTACCTCGACCTTGCATGTCGCGCGGCGGAGGAGTATGCTGCCGCAAACCCACCGCGGCCCGCGGAGAATGAAAGTGATCGCATCGAGGAGAGAGTCATGAACATGGCGCTATGGGGAAACTTCAGTATGGCAGGGTATGTTCATATCAGTTCCATGTCCTAACGCTGGCTAACGAGGCAGTACTTCTGCGGTATCGCTTTTGAAGCACATCCATATTCAGCCACCCTCGCGACCGCGCGTTCCAACGCACCACGATCCAAACGACGTTTGGTGTCCTTATCCTCGAGGAATCGACCCGGTACCGGGACACCATCTCTGTGTTTTTGATCGGTGGTGTGACCTGAACTGCATCGCGTTCGGTATCAGCAGGGCATTCTACTCATTGCAGGAGCGGGTTCCAGCCTCGGAAACACCCTCGACAGTCACCGAGTTGTACCGGCAATTACAGGGCTGGTACGCAAATCTGCCGCATTGTCTTGATGTCAATACCGCGGTCGTCCCTCATGTCATCGGCCTCCAGTATGTTGTCCATCCTTCACGTAAAAACACAGCTAACTGATTGCAGTCTCTTCTACCACACCAATGTCATCCACCTATTCTGGTCTCTGCAGTCATATTACCTTTCCGAAGGCGATCACGAAAAGGCCCGATCCGCACGAGATTTCAGTCACCAGAACGCCCGTCACTGTGCTCAACTCATCGCCATTCATCGTCAACGCTGGGGAATTGACTGCATGGCACCTTGCACCATACAGTGGGTCACAATCGCGCTATCCGCTCTGCTAGGCGCCCTCGACTCCGCCGAGAACCGGATCGCCTTCACAGACCTCTGCACCACTGCTCGGGCTTTCTCCAGGAGATATCCCATAGCCAAGGGTATCATGCGGATGCTCCAGCTGACGGCAAAGCAGATGCAGGTAACCCTGCCTGAGGAAACGGACGCCCTGTTTAGCTCGTTTGCGGCCGAAGCATGGCATGAACATGACGGGGAGGGATTCAGCAGCTTCTACCCGCACTGGACGACGGTGATTCGCCACGGGCCAGCTCGGCAAGATGACGATGTCCTAGACCGGTTCCTGCAGAAATGGGACAAGCTCACTATTTCGGATGATGCGTCGCAAGATACCCAATCCCCAGTGTGAAGATCGCCAACAAGGCTGAATATCAAGGCCAAAAGATAAGTTTTTCTATGACGCCGTTCAATTGTTGCGACCAACCCCCGGCGACTACCGCAACAGTCGCTTCCGAGCATTCCGGGACCTCGATTATCCCCCGAATGGCTCCTTATCAGCATTGCGGTGACAGCCCTGGCTTATACACGTGGCCTGGGGTCCTACAGTTGCTTCCACTTCCACTTATCTCCCGGGCAATCTACGACGCTCAATTGACATGATGCATATACTAGTTGCGCCGGTTATATACTATCCGATTCAATATAGGGGTGGCAATTGGGCGCGCAGACTGGTAATCAACAGCTGCCCATTGCATCATGCGAGTCATCAATCAAGTGCTCTATTGACGAACTCGAATCGGTGCCGATGGATTTAGGGGATGACTTATTCTTCTCGCACTTAGTGGGCCAATGTTTAGAGGTTAAGGTTAGTATAGCGTGGACTATATATTTTGCAACGCATTCGAGTTAGAATCGAATTACGGTTCACTAAGCCGTAGGCGTTGGCCTTGAATGTTGTGAGATATTACTAGCAATTAGATGACGACAAAAGGGTCAAACTGCAACTGCTATTATGTCGATCTGGTGTTCGAGCATTAAGTTAAGGAAGGAGAAAGTCCGAATGAAGAGTTTAGTGCGTATGCGTATGCGTATTTGCTTGGCAATAAGTAGGGCAGGCGGATTATTTATCCGCGCCGATGGCCTTCGCCTTAAATCCACGCGGGCGGCGGGACTCCCCGCACTCTCATCCAAAGTTCCTCAACAGGAGTCAACACTCAAAACCAATTATGGCACCACCATTCCGGATCGGCACACGCCGATCGAACCTCGCTGTCGTCCAGGCCGAAGGCATCCGCGACAGCCTACAACGCCTGGCCCCCGACCGAACATACGAACTCGAAGCCCTCCGCACCCTCGGCGACAAAGACCAGTCGACTGCACTGTACAACTTCGGAGCAAAGAGCTTGTGGACCGCCGAGCTGGAGGAGAAGCTGACCTCCGGCGAAGTCGATGTTGTCGTCCACTGTCTGAAAGGTACTATTTACACCCAAGGCCGGTAACTGAGCGCTCTAGAACTGTTGACAGACATGCCGACCAGGCTCCCGGACTCGTGCGATCTCGCCGCCATCCCACCCCGCGATGACCCACGCGACGCCCTGATCGTCAAGGCCGGCCTCCCGTATACGAGCCTGCAAACGCTTCCCGAGGCCGCCGTGGTAGGCACGTCCTCCGTCCGCCGATCCGCGCAACTCCGGCGACTCTACCCGCACCTCCGATTCGCGAACCTCCGCGGAAATGTCGAGACACGTCTGGCTAAGGTCGATGACCCCGAGAGCGAATACACGTGCATGGTGATGTCGGCTGCTGGTCTGGAGCGCATTGGGCTGGCACACCGGATCACGCAGTATATGGGGTCGAAGGACGGGGGGATTCTGCACGCCGTGGGACAAGGGGCGCTAGGGTTGGAGATCCGCAAGGGGGATATTGAGACACTGCAGTTCCTCAATCAACTGGGTGATTTGAAGTCGACGCTGGCGTGTCTTGCGGAACGGGCTCTCATGCGCACGCTTGAAGGTGGCTGTAGTGTTCCCATTGGCGTTGAGACGGAGTGGATTGATGAGAGCCTTGGTCGTCTACGGATGACTGCGATAGTTGTTAGTCTGGATGGCGCCCAGAGTGTCCAAGACAGTATCGACGGCCTCGTGCAGACAGAACAGGAGGCAGCGGCTCTGGGGGAGGAGTTGGCTGCGAAGCTTGTGAAAGCTGGGGCGGACAACATTCTCAACGCCATCAACGCCGACCGCCCACCCAAGGATTGATATGCCTTTGAAGCTTCCCAAGCCGTGGTAAATAGCTCCTTTGTATTCCCCGGATTAGCCCATGGCCCTGTAAAAGTGGATCCGCCACAGCGGGAACTGAAGCCGAGTGTCGCGATCGGGAACAGCATCCGTTGCTCGAGATAATGCTTGGATTGTATACATAGCGATAGATGCTCGCCTAGGCCGAGGCGGTCTGATGATCGACACTCCTGCAACGGCAGGCTGGAGTTTCGAATTGACCCTTTGACGTGCTCCACGGGCAATGACGCAGGGAAACCGGGATCCCACCCATAATGAGTAATATAAATGGGTTTATAAGCCGTTGCATGTCACAGCTTCACAGCACAAGCAATCAGAGGTATCGGAACAAAGAAACATGGCAAAACATCCCGCTGTGTCTTCTGCCAAACAGACGACCACCCCGGCACCCCTAAAGTCCAGCTTCTCACCGAAGGCCTTCCCCGTTCTCAGTTCTGATTGAAGTCCACGGTGTTGCATTATCTACCGCGACGCAGACATCGCGAATCGCAGAAACCTGTGGCCTGTTACGCCGCACGGTATCCGCTGCAATGATGCACGGCGAGGTCATTGCCGTAGGCGACTACGTCAAGACCATTGCTATGGGCAATAGAGTTGCACCAACTTGGAACATGTATGTGATGGCTGTAAAACTAGATCGAGGCACTGTTGGAATTATTGATGCTTGTTGAAAGCATGTTGAAGCTAATCACCCAACTGAAGTACACAAGGGGATTATATCAAAAAACGAATGAAGCAGATGCAGAGAAAGGAGTTGGCCGTGATCTCCTTGCTGATGCATCTTGACACAGGTAATGTGCCATGGTACTATATCCAAAACGAGCGGTTGGACACTAAGCACATAATCTCCAGGTTAGAGCGAACCCTGAATCCCTAGTACCATCTATCTAGCCCCCCAAAACCCGCCAGAGTAGGCTATGCACAGACCCAAGACAGCACCGGCGCAAGCCACTGCCTGGGATACCGCGCCGAGCCCGGGCCCGGGCCCACGATGCGATGCGATCACGCTCGCCGTCCAGGACAGAAAGTCTCCCATTTCTTATCCACCTTCGCCACGTAACATGATGCTCCATCGCCGCCTCCGCTCTGCTTGGTACACTGTGCAAGACGAAGGTTAGAAGCGCATCTACCAAGGTCCAGGGTGTATGCCGGACTCAGCAGCTGAGCGTGAGAGTTGGGCTTGGAAACTGGAAAGGAAACCAAAGCAGGTTCTTACACTGCCGCGATCACAATGACTGTCAGGGGTAGATTTGCCCGTCAGCCAAGTCCAGTGTTCATTGCATGCGGCCCGGCATGGCATGGAATGGTAGGAAGAGTAAGTGGCACACACCGGTTCATTCCATTTGCTAGGCAGCTGGTCCCATTGCATTTCTATGTTCGGTCACGCGTTAGTCGGCGCAATTGAAAGGACAAAAGGGATGGATAGCGGCTGCAAAGGCATGTAGGAAGAGGTAGGACCGGGGTTTCATACTCCGCAGTTGTGGGGTCTTGTTCCCTTGGGGCATCTCGCTGCTGCTTCGGCTGCGTTGGCATCGACGGCGAGCTCGATATCCTTGTTAGCCGTCGCCTCCACGGCGCCTGCGGCGTTCTCTGCTGGGGCAGCGAGGGTCGCGAGGGGTATGGCGAGGAGGGCCAGGGCGAGAGGTGCGAAGCGCATGGTGGCGGATGGTAATGATGTTCAAATGTAGATGAGGAAGATGAAGGCAGCGCTTGACTACCTGGAACTGGGGCTTTGGGGGGATGTGGTGTTCTGTTGATGGAGTCTGAGAACCTGAGGGTTGTGGGCTCTGTTGTCCTGGTGGGATGCCCATATTTATACCTTGCCTTGCACTCTATTCCTGTTTCAATCTTGCGGGTTCAGTGGACACGGGAATCCGCACATCGATGGTCCATTGTCGCTCATCCTGCTGTCTGTCAAGGTTGGACCCTGTCCTGGTCAAAGGGTCAAAGTGCTGGGGAGCATGCATGACTGTTTGACCTCACAACCCCAGAGCGGGGACGGATTGTTTGTTTTTTTCTATCGTTCCGCAGAGCGGCAAGCAGGTCGCTGGGCATGGTGCCTACCAGACAACTGGAAGGTCGTGGACTTCCGGTTTCTATCCACTCCCGAACTGCGCTGTTCTGCCCGCTGCACATGTGAGCTCCAGCGATTACCCATTTTGGGCATTACCATGTGATGACTGCATCTCACATACCCCTCTTTGAAGAAGCAATTGATCCCATTGCTTTCAACATCCAGTACTTTCATGCGGACAACGCTAGACCTGACTACGTTGAGTCACCTCACCTTTCATGGTCATTGGACGTCTTCGAATGTCTACGCGCATAGCTCGGCGTCCAAGCTATCACTTCGACGTATTAATAACATAGCAGAGTGGGAAGTATAAGACTGGGGTTCCACGAAGGACGCCTTCGGAGCGGCCCGTCATCCATGTCACGGCGCCAGAGGGGGTTGACCTCGATATCCACTTGCAGGGGACAACTTGGTACATTGGGTCCAGCACATTGGACGCTTGAGCACGAGTGATGTGAAAGCTGCGCTCAAGCCCCCTGATCAACAGTGCAGCAGGGCGCATGGACGCAGCAGACCCCAGCCAATGATTATGTCCGGGCACTGCAGCCTCTCGGTCCATTTTACAATACCCTCTTCGCCTCATTTCCCTCCAAAGACTATGCTATCGAGGACCAGGGGTCATAGTCCTAAACAGAATATGCACAGCTTTCTTTCAAGCGGGCGCCAGGCGCTCGAGCCTCTGGGTCTGGGGTTGGTGGCTTAGGTACCTATGCGGTGTAACAAGCGCCTGGCTGTCACCTGTAGGGTGCATGGATGGCTGATCCTGTGGCCTACATTAGGCGAACACCCCGCCCAAGCATGGCATGTTCTGACGACGTCCTTGGTTGACGCTAGTTGTTCGTGACAGTGACGCGAGCTGCATGTTGAGGTACAATTTTCTAACCACCATGCCATCACTCGCTGTTTCATCGCCTCCCAGCAGCTGCTCAGAGACGTACAGCAGCTATCACGCCCATCGACTAGGTGTCTGTCTAATGCAGTTGGTCCAATCGATAGACCATGGCGACCGTATTGCTGGTAATACTCCTAAAGGCACTGGACGCGTATGGTATAGCGCTCCTCTCTATGTCCGGAGACGATCCGGTGGAGAACTGTGTGTGAACTGTGGGGCCTGAAAACTGTGCCTTGACCAATTTTTATCCTCTGTAACAACGCATCTCATCACATACGACTCCGCGACCTGCAGACAATGCCGCATTATGTCGAAAAATCTCGATGGACAGAGCAGACCTCCGCCACCCGCAACAATGTCCCAGCTTGAAGCCCTGCTCCGATCAACAGATCCTCGATCCGCATTGCAAGCCGCCGTGCAATCAAAGCAGCTTGCAGTAGCGAAGTTTCTTCTGGAGTCTTCGGACATCAATTTGGAATCAGAATTCGGAGGAGAACTCCTCCTTACGGCAGGCAGTAAGCCCGATCCAAACATGCTCAAACTGCTCATGGCCAAAGGTGTGGACCCGCATTATCGACGAGAAGACTGTCGAAAGGCGATCATCGTCGGCCCGCACCAGGATATTGTGGACTCTTCTCTTTTAGTGGCCATCTGTCACGCTTTTGCAGCCCGAAAAACACGGGCCTTCTGGGACAGTGCCGAGACCGATACTGGAGACTTGGCAGACCTTGTCGAGCCATATGAACGAGCAATTGATTTAGCTCTTGCTTCTAGTTGCGATGTGAATACCCCAGGCTCGATGGACAGGACTTCGTTAAACTGGTGCGTGCTGAGCAGTATGCCTGCGCAGATCATACAGAAGCTCCTTGACCATGGCGCCGATGTCAATGCCGAAGATAGCGAGGGTAATACACCGCTGCATTTGTACTACCCCTCTGCGGAAACCGAAGCAGTTCTCGGCATGCTAGTTAAGCATGGCGCGAGATCGGATAAGCGACGCAAATCAGATGGAAAGACACCATTGCATACGTGCGTGGACTTGGGATGCCGGAAACATGATCTCAATATGTTGCTCCTGCAGCAGCATGTCAAGGACTGGAACGTTACTGATTCTAGAGGTGATACTCCGCTACATCTGGCGGCCAGGATTCAGATTACCCCTGAACTAGCAATACGGTTGCTTGAGCAGCTCATATCCCTTGGTGCGGGTATCAATGAAGCGAATCATGATGGCGATACGCCCGTACACCTGCTAGACAGCATAAAACTGGGCTCCGATGATATCAGAGCTATGCTCGTTGCAGCGGGAGCGGATTTCGAAGCGCGAGATAGACGAGGAAGGACGTGGTTCCTCCGCGCTGTTCTCGAAGAGTCCAATCTCACTGAGAGAGCGCATTCGGTTGCTCTCGATCTGGGGTTGGATTTCCATGCCGCTGATTACGAAGGAAACAATGCTCTTCATCTCGCACTTGGCAATGACCGGCCGATTGCAAGTCTTGAGTATCTCATTAAGGCCGGTGTCGATCCATGCCATGCGAATCATAACGGTGACACGCTATACCACGCGCTCATGAGACAGTGTTTCCAGTCCGCCTCTACTGACCTCATTGCAAAGCTTACCGTCCTTCGCTCAACGAGGCCAGAAATACCCGCTTTGGCTCAAAATCACCGCGGCCAGACCCTACTTCACTGCGTGTGCAGTAAACCACCCTCATTTCCCGCGTATCGCGATATGCTCTATACAACCCGTAATCCCCTCGAGTGTTTCTCTGAATCTGAGATTTCCTCCATGGTACGAACCTCGGACAATGAAGGCACAGTACCAGTTCATGCAGCCGCAATGACAGACGAAAGTCTCGTTTGGTGGCTGATCACCAAAGGAGCAGATATATCTGCCCGCACGCATGACAAAGAGACTCCGCTGCATCTCGCTGCTCTTGCTCGGCAAAGCAACATTATCGGCTTACTTCTTGAGACGTATACCAAAGCAGAGCGAGTCAAGGCTGTGAACGAAGCAGATATCCATGGACGCACGCCACTGCACTACGCATGCTGCTCTGGGCGGCCTGAAAGCGTCAGGCTGTTATTGGATGCTGGGGCTGATGTTGGTATCGCTGATAGAGCCGACTGTACGCCCCTTCACGCTTGCGCACAGCTTGAAAGGAAACTAGAAGTCCGGGGTTCGAATCATGTTGGTTACCCGAATGACCATCAGATACGCTCTGATGACGGATCCTTGCGGGTAACAGATATTGTACACCTGTTGTGCGAGCGCGGGGCGGATATCATGGCAGTAGATGGACAGGGGAATACTCCTATGGCTCTAGCCATAGGCAAAGGAAACAACGAGATGGTCGCTGCCCTTATGGATGTGATCGACAATGGGTCGCCGGAGCAGAAAGCAGCTTTTGAGAAGGCCCATGCAATTCGTCTTTCTGCACGATTGTATCTAGCCAGTGGACATCTCAATGCTGAGTCAATCGTTGGCCAATTCATTGAGAACAGCACTCTCAAGGATGATCCCGCAGCCGCGGTCCAAACCTGCGACCAACTCCTCAAACTCGGCGCCTACAGCGTGATACAAGAACTCTCCAAAACGGGCTTGCCGCTCTCTGGCGCAGTAGGTCCAAGGAAAGTTGACTTCCTCGAGTCCCTGGCTCGTTGGGGCTTCACGGATCTATTCCTTAAACTCGGCCTTACACGCAGCAGAAGCCTCAACAGTCACAACTGGATAAACGGGTCCATCTCAACACCATTCTCCGAGATGTTCGATCTTCGCCCATTCCTCTTAACCGTTGTCTCAAGGTCTCTACCGAGCATGGACCTCCTCTCCCTGGTCGTCGAGACTTTCAGCGCAGACGTCAACATCAAGCTTGAAAAGCGCCAGCGTATGAAAACAGATGTCTCCGCGCTGCATATCCTCGCGGAAGGGAAGCACTGGTGGAATACAGATGCTGTCGCGTATTTGCTGAAGCACGGCGCGGATCCGAATATCGCTGATGCGTTCGGACGCACGCCGCTCCATGTTGCAGTGAGTGGGGGGTATAGACGGCTAGGGATTGTGAGGCTTCTGCTTGAGCATGGTGCGGATCCGGATGCGAGCGATTGGAACGGTAAGACGCCGATTTGTCTTGCGGTGGGAGATGAGGATATGGTCGGTTTGCTGGTGCGGTTCGGCGCTGGGGGTGCGGCTGGGGAGGCGCCGGTTTCGTGATCGGGTGCGTCCTGTCTCCATCTTCGCCTCGCTGGTCTTCCCTGAGCGCGAATATCGTCGAACCAGAGTTAAGCCTACTATATTCGGAGGCGTGGCAGAGGACAAGGTTCCGAAAAAGACTTTGACGCCGGAATGCCCGGGAACGCAGGCGTGATCTAGTGGACCCGTGGAACTCTCACTCAAGAGCACACCGAACACTGCAGATTCTGGCCATGATCGATATCTTACTCTTGCCGTCTACCGAGGGTAGAAATGTTCAGCATGATGATGCCGATGGGGCTGTACTGCATATCACCGCGCGGACTGAACTCAGGCTGCTGAGCTCTTTCACTCGTCTTCTTTCTGTGCGAATCTGCAAGAGCTGAGCGATCGACAAACCCCCACTGAGAGGATCTCAATTATCATATCAGGAGAGAACAGCTATGGACAGTTCAAAGACTTTTTGTTCCTCGACAAGCTATGATTCCGAGCGTCGGTCTCATGGTCGGAGCAAAAGAACGATTCCCTGCTCTCGAAGGGCCTTGTCAATTCTGGGTGGATAAAAGTCCTCTCACAATCAGCACTTGAGAACTTATTTACCACTACGTCACCCAGTGTAAGCTTACCTATCTTCAGCTCGATCGCAAGGTACACCATCAAGTCCGCACTGCAGATCTAGCCTCGACGAGCTGCGAATCACAGGTTGTGATTGGCCCGTCAGAGCGCTGATAAGGCGATTGGCCCAATGAGCGAGCTCGATTCCCGTCACTGCGCGGAGTCTCGGACATGTCCAGCAGCTCCAGCTGTGTTGGAGGCACCGCGTCGAGCCCTTCCCTGGCCCCAGCGAGGTGGATAGATCTGCTCCGGAGACCCCATGCCATGGGTTGCCCGTACAGCTGGGTCGCTGGAGATAACGAAGGTTATTTGGACTTTGCTGTCCTTATCATGATCAAGGATTTGCTGCCCAAACATATCTACCAAACAGCGAACAAGTCTCCGGCAACATCGCAGCATTAGGCGCTGTGATATATGGATCATCATCCTTTTGCCGTAGTCCTGTTTTCCATCCGCGGTTCTTATGGTAGCTGGTCCCCCAGCCGTCGGTCATTGATAAGGCAATGGCGGTGGCGCCCTCTCAGCACGCAAGGCGTCAGCCATCTCCGAGCCACGTCGTACATGTCTCTTGGCCTGCCTTGTATCGGCATTGCCAAAAGCTTCTCATCAACAAGCTTTGTTTGTACTCCGTCTGCGACGGTGCCATGGCGATCGCGGCAGCAGCGCGAAAACAAGCACCTGCACCTTGCCATCAATCGCCGATCGCGATCATCCAAAAACAAACTTCGAGATGTGCTATCTCTCCAATGGTTTGCGACTAGTTCCCGATCGAAGGGTGCAGTGGGCAGCGATCAACTCTATCTCTTTAACTCTTATCAGCCCCAGCAGTTTAACTTAGTCGCGGATTTCCTTTCTCCGCGGAACCCTGATAAGACCCCAGAGCCCAGAGGCCCTACCTACGCCCTTCTGGGGAATCCGAGCTCGGCCTGCGACTTGACTCCGGGGCTCCAGGCCCTGCGATTCGTCCCGGAGTCTTGGACTCCTGAGTTTCGTGCCCTAGGCCTGATAGTGTCTAATATCTGACGATTTTCTGAGCTGATGACGATCCAGATAAGCTTCTCTGCGCTCTTATTGGTCAAGACACTGGATGCAGGATGCTATCACTCAGGGCTGAGTACCTATTAAAGCTCCCTGTCTCTCATACCTAGGGATCCCGTCGACGGCTCCCAGCTACACATCCTCAAACCGCCGCAATGCCGCCTTCAATCGACGCCTACACGCCCGCCGAGGTCACCGAGTTCGTCTCGCGCGCCGGCTCCGTCAAGGGCCATATGCGCCTGGACAAGGTCTTCTTCAGCTCCGTCTCCGCAGGTGGTTTGCTTGCTCTTGCGTGCGGCACAGTCCTCAGCACAAATGCCAGTCCGTGGTTCAGCGAGAATGCGCCGGGGTTGATCCGTACGATTAGTGCGCTCGTCTTCCCGTATGGGTTGGCCCTGATTATCCTTACCGGCGCGGATCTGTGCACGGGGTCGTTTATGGTACGTTATATCAGCCTTGGTATTGTCAGATGGGACAGCGCAGACGGGATGCTAATACGTTCATTGGGAAGTTTACGACCGTCGCTGCCCTCCACCGCCGACTCTCCTGGCCGAAGATGCTCCTCCACTGGTTCGTTACATTCTGGGGGAACCTTTGCGGCTCGCTATTCGTTGTCTCTATCATCTTCGGCTGTGCGCCTCCTTCTTCTCCCTACGATTCCTAATGACTCCCCACTGACAACTGCTCCAGACGGCGAAGTCTTCTCCGCCGACCCCTTCCGCAGCGCCGTGATAACATTCGCGACAAAGAAACAAGTGACGCCCGAGTTCCACAGCATATTCCTGCGCGGGATCGGATGCAACTGGCTCGTGTGCCTAGCATGCTTCCTAGCACTGCAGGGCCGCGACATGGCGTCCAAGATCATCGGCATCTGGCTCCCGATCTACGCGTTCGTGTCTCTGGGCTTCGACCACGTCGTCGCGAATATGACGTTCATCCCGTTGGCCATCTGGCTCGACGCGCCGGGGATCAGCGTGGGGCTGTATATCTGGAAAGGGATTATCCCGACGCTGCTGGGGAATATTGTGGGCGGTGGTCTGTTCGTCGGGACGTACTATTGGTACATGTACCTGCTTCAGACGAACCCGGTTACGTTGACGGGGCTGAGGAGGAAGGCTGATGGTGGGAGTGAGGGGACGGTTACGCCGAGGATGGAGGATGTTGAGGCGAATGCGGGTGTGGTTCAGGGGGGTGAGGGGGGGAAGATTGGTGGTTGATATGGTATCTTCCATTTTGACATCCTGCGCTGCCTACTAGACATACACTACACCTGCACTATCCCTTCGTAATATACCCAGCTAATACAATATAATATTCATCCATACTCAATGCTACCATACCCCCTCGGCTGGTAGTCACTCTCGGGCATAGCTATCCGGCTGCGCCACCAGCTCGCCCATCCACGGCGTGATGTACGTCCCGTAGCGCGTGCCGGGCACCTTTGCATACTGGATGGTCACCTCCTCGACACTGGCGTCTTCAAGGTACTGTCCCAAACACCCGATCGCGATCCCGCTGCCGCCGTTGCAGGTCACGCCGCTGATAACGATATTCGATGGGCGCGGCTTGATCGCGATGAAGGAGTCGCCGCCGGTGAATGTGAAGTTGGACAGGGTCAGGTTCGTTACGTCCATCGTGTCTGGGCCATGGCCTAATTAGTACGGTACCATATGGTATCTCAAAGGGTGAGGGGGTAGAGTAGGGCGCACCAAACCCATCCGTATTCTGCGCCCAGTTTTCCTCCTCCGGCGCAGACGAGTCGTCGACGGCCATGGTGATATTCGTGAGATGGAGATCTGTCCCGCTCATGACGTTTATGCTCCAGAGTTGGGGCTGCCAGATCGCGAAGTTTGAGACGTGGATGGCGGACACGTTCCAGGGGACGAAGGGCTGGCCACGTCCACGTCCAGCACAAGTTTGCGTTACCTATGATGGAAGAGAGCTGGGGAGGGTTTGCAGGTTGGTGGACGCACCATCTGACGTCCCGACCTCGTCGTCCCAGCCTCATCGATATACCAGACCTCGCCGTTCCCGTCTATCCCGCCGGACCCGTGCCCGTTGATTGTGATGCCGTCGCCTGAGAGGATGAAGCCTGCAGCGTGATTCTGGAATTCGATTGGGTAGCTGTTTGCGCCCCAGTAGGTTAGGTTGTCTGAGAACTACAGGGACCATTAGGTATCACCTCTTCAACAATATAGGTTGATAAGGATAACAGGGGTGCTCGTACCAGCCACGTTCCTTTCAGTCAACCGTGACATCCCTAACATGCGGATTCAGCAGCTCGGTATCCAGTATGTTTTATTTTCAGGGAAGATAATCTTTCCGCCGTTGTTGCAGTGCTGGAATGCGTCCAGGATGTTGGGGACGTCGTTTTCGTGGGAGCCGAGGGGATGCACGATGCAGGTCTTTTGGCCGTGGTTCAATAAGAACTCGAGCGAGGCGCCTGATAGTGGTACCAAGCTCAGGAAGGCTGTGAAGAAGCGCATGTTGGGAAGTATGCTATGAGCTGAAGAAGAACCCAAGTGCACATCCTTTCATGCTGCTGCTTAATGGTTACATAGCCCTCTGTGATATGTTTAATGCTCCGTGACCGCGCAAACCTTACAGCTGTCCTCGCAAGTGTCTATGTCAGGCCCGTGGATCTTGGGCACATTGAGATGTTACGTCTTTCCACCTGTCATAATTCTATCCATCCCCCGCTCTGCAGATCACCTGCAGACATCCCCGCATTCTCTGGGGCTCGGGGTATTGCTTCCCGATGGGTCAGGGGATAGGATGTTCGCAGATCTGGACTTGGAGCACATGGAAACAACCTGAATCAATGGATTTGCCCAACGATGTAGGTAGTGAGCTCATGGACTCATTGGGTACAAACCTGCTTTTTTTTACCGCTTTCTCTTTGGGCCCTGGTCGGACTTGCCAGTGGTAAGTGACGAGGAGAACTTGGATTGGGCAACTGCGCATACTATGACAAGTTTGTATCTTGTGGCCCTCAGTCTACGTCTGAGGAAAGTGAATACAGTGAGCGGTATTGCAGGTAGCGGACAGGTAACAATGAGCCCCCACCCCAAAGCTGGCTTAAAAACGTAAAGATTATAAGCAAGGACACGGCGTACTACGCCTACACCCCCGATGACGAGGTAGGTGTACACACTCCTAACCGCCCTGAGCCGTAAGCAGTAATTCTGGATCAGGAACGCGCCCTACTCCTAATGGCGTCAGGCTGAGAAATGGACATAACCAAAAGAGCTTTTCTGTATGAGCTTTTCTGCATGAGCTTTTCTGCACTAAGTTATGAGGTCTTGCTTCTCGCCATGGCTGCCTTCCGGTGTAGGCAAAACCTCAGTTCATGTTTCAGGGTGTCGGCCGGATCTGACAGCAATTCGTCTTCAAGCTTTCAGCCCTAATGTAAAACCAGCTGCGGTATAACGGGCTATTACCACTGTTAGAGCGTAGTATACTACTTGCCCTATTATAGCCCTTGCCTATTAGCTTAGTTAGCTATACTAAGTATAGCTTTATTATTATAGCCTAGTTAAATATAATTTTTAAGCTTTTATTTTTAAAAAGTTATATACCCTAGGTAGCTTTTTTTATTAAAATATTATATTTATTTATATATAACTACTTTTTTTATTACTACCTTTTTTTAAAATTTATTTACTTTAAATATTTATTAAGTTAAAAATATTTTTTATATAATACTAATATTTTTAACTACTTAATATAAATTTTTTGATTATTTATTTTATATAACTTTTATATTATCTTTATATATTAAGGCTATATAAAAATTTATTTATAATATAATTAATATTATTATTATTAATTTTAATTTTTATAAAATTATTATATAGCTTAATAATTAAAAAAACTATTATTTATAATATAAATTTTTTAAAATTATATTTTAATTTAAAGTATTTTATTTTTAGCTTATTATTATTAAAAAAGTTTTTTTATAGATATTTACTAAAGCAAGCTATTATTATTATTAAATATATTAATAAAAATAATATAGCTTAAAATTAAGTTATTAAGCTTATTATTTAAAATTAAATAAGTATTTAATTTTTTTAAAATATTAAAATAAAAGTAAAGCAAGGGTGCTAAATATAATATAATTATTTTTTATTATTATTTTTATTCCTAATACTTTATATATAATATATAAATTAAATTTTTAGCTTTTATAATACCACCCAAGCCTTTTATTATTTATAAAAGTTATATAACTTATTTAGTACTAATTTTTTTTGAAAAGCTAGTAAATACTTAATATAATAAAATATATTAATTAATAACTAAAATAACTTTTTATAAAAATTAAAAATATTATTATTAAGCTAGTAATTATTTAAACCCTTAATTGATAAGTTATATAATATTGTTTTTATTATAATAATTTTTAATTTATATAATATATAGCCCTTTATTACTAGTTATATATAATATTTTATTAAAATATTAATAATATTTATTTACTTTTCCTGTAATATAAACTTAATTAAATATAAATATTTAAAATTATTTAATATATTATTAATACTACTAGCCACCCTAGCCATAATAGCTTTATTTTTATTAAAAATTATAATATTATATAGTATATATATTACTAGTTATATAATGATTTTTTTTACCTATATTAAAAATTTAGTAAATACCTAGTTATAAAATAAAGGTAACTTTAAAGGCACTAGCACTAGCGCCTGTTAAGGCTATAATAATAAATTTAAATATTATAAAAAAAAGGTCAAAAAAAGTTATAGCGCCTTTACCTTTATAAATATTATATAAATAAAAATATTATTATTAGTGCTTTATAATAATTAACCTAAAAGTTAATTTAAAATTTTTTATTAATATTTTTACTTAAAACTTTACAGGCCTTTTCAGGCGCTAATATTATTAATATTAACTTGAACTTTATATATATAAACTTTATGTTTATATAACTATTAAATTTTAATATTAATAAGCTAAATTTTTATATTAAATTAACTTATATAAATATTAAACTAGCTACTAATAATAATCAAATACTTAATTTTAATACCTTTTATTATATAATATATTTTAAGCATAACTTTATATTATTTTAATACGCTAAAATTTTAGTTAAAATAACTAATAATAATAAGATTTTTACTAAAGGCTATAATAATATTATATTAGGTATTATTAATAAGTTTAATATAAGGTAAAATAAAAATTTTTTATTAAAAAATATTTACTACACGCCTAGCTTAGCTTATAATCTATTATTAATTAAATAATTTATAAATAATAATATTTATATAATATTTAATATTAATATTATTATTAAACTTACTTAATATAAATTTAGTTATATACGCCATCTTGCTTAAATTTTATTACTATTTTTATTTAAATATTAATACTTTTTTTAAAATAATTATCGTGCTTGTAAATATTTTTATACTTAATTAAAATATAATTTTATTTTAGGGCTAATAACAGCCCGGGTAAAGGTTTTTAATAAAATAATTTTTATATATTTAGCTTATTAATAAGCTGCCCGTGTATTTAAAAGAAATTAAGAATTTTTTTAATATATTATTAGCCTTAAATTATATAAAGGCCTGTAAGTTAAATAATATAAGCTGTTGGAGGTAGCTAGCCGGGAGTTAAAGGATAAGTTATCTAGGTTAGGTAACCCCGCGCTACTGCCTACTATAATTAATAATTATGTTATTTTTAGTTTTTTAATACTTACTTAATATTATTAAAGCTTTTTGCTTATTAGGTTATATAGCCTAGTTAGCCACTATTTTATAATTTTTTATTAATTTTTTAATATATATAAAAACCTTAAAGCAAGTTTTATTTTTTATTTTAATTTAGTTTATTTTTTTTATAATTTAAGGCTATATTCACGCGCTAAAGTCATGCCTTTAAATTTTATTAATTAAATTTAAATTTTATTAATTATTATTTTTATTTATTAATTATATTATACTACTATATTAATATAGCTACCCCTTTAAAAAATAAAGTTATTAATATTTTTACTTTTACCCCTTTTATTTTTATAATTAATAAAGGTACTACTAGCCCTTAGCCTAAGGTAATTACTTAAATATTTTAAGCACTAGTAATATATTATTAAGGGATATTTTATAATAAGATTATTTTATTTTTTACTTAGCTTAATATTTGAAAGGTTGCGCAGCGCCTAAAAGGTAAAAAAAAA